CCCATCGCGCAACACGCGGCGCGAAGAAACCAAAGGCACCCTGACGATAGACATCCAGTTTCTTGATGCGCGCCCCCACTGTAGTGAGCCCCGGTGGCAGGTCAGTGCTGGCGGTCTTTTGCGAGACAGGCGGGCCCGAAAGAAACAGATGATGGCAGGCGCTGGCTGGATTCAAGGCTCACGACAACAGCCCCAGCCCCCACCCCGCCTTCTCGGCGACCGTGGCGTCGCGGAGGCGGAGGCCCCCGCTCGGGCTCGGAGCAGTTGGCTCCGCTGGGATCCCTGGCGGTGGTGGGGGCTGGTTTTGCAGCTGTGATGGCAGCACCTTGATGTGCGGCTTCCACCCATGGATGCTCATGCTGCACGACACGCACTTGGGGCGCTGCTGCTTGGTGCTGTCACGCGCCTGCTGCAGACTGCTGAGCCCGCTCTGGTCCACCGTCTTCACCTCGTCGTAGCCCCATCCGTGGCTGCTCTCCGTCCACTTAGTGTAGCAGTCCTCGAGCTCATCGATCTGGAGCCTCTCGTAGTCCAGCTTCCACAGGAAAAGGCCCCTGGAGGAGCCGACTCTGGCTGCTGAGAATGATCTCGGCCCTTCGGCGCTCGACGTCCTTGCTGATCTCGTGCAGTTGCTGTCGTAGTAGTTCAGCCACGTGTGTCCTGGCCGCGGTGTCGGTAATAGCCCCAACTGTGGTCCCACGCGGGGACGACGCCAGAAACTCAGGTCGAGTAGAAAAGGCTGCTGTGGGAGGCGGACCTGGTGGGGTTGGAGTCGGAGCCTGTCGCCTGGTTCCTAGCCTGGTTAGTACCTTGTTGACTGGGAAGCACAACGTAGTGGCAGGGAGCAGGCGTGGGACCGTAGTTGTATCGGTGGTTGTGGGAGGAGGCGGAAAGTCTGGGTATTGCTTAGATTCCTGTCCGTGCCAACTCCTTGTGCTTAATATCCTGGTTGGTCCTGGTACGGTTTCTCTTGTATCACTCGGGGTTCCGTACTGGCTGTCCCTGTGGGGCAGGAGGAGGAGGAAGAGAAGGGAGATGTGGAGGAGGAGGAGGAGGAGGAGCAGGAGGGGGAGGAGGAGGAGGAGGAAGAGGAGGAGGAGGAGGAGGAGGAGGAGGAGGAAGAAGAGGAGGAGGAGGAGGAGGAGGAGGAGGAGAGGCCGCCATCTGGAGGCCGGATCTCAGGACAGCAATGCGCCACGGATTCGGCCACGGAGAACGCCCCAAGGAGTTTCGTGGAGCTCGGCGCCGACGTGACGGCGCGGAGGTACCAGACGGCCTCGAGGATAAAGCACGTGGAGCCTTCCAGATCCCGGAACTTAATTCTAGGCATGACCCCGGAGTAGGAATGACATCGGTGGAAATCATCGGCGGAGCTCGTCACCGATTCCGCCGCTCATTTCCCCCCCCCGGCTGTCCAGCACGTCGTTGGTGACGGTAATCCCGTCGCGGTCCTGGCCAACCTGCACCGTCTGGCCGTGCAGGGCATTGTACAGGCGCTGGGCCTCGAACGTCCCGCTGGGGCATCGGCGCCTTGTGGAGCCGAGTGGATATGCTCGCCAGCCGCGGGGGCCCTTGTCGTGAGGAGCGGGGGAACTCGACCGTCCTCGTGTCCAATTTCGCCTCGGAGCGCAACGGCAGAGTGAACACTATGCCGAGATAGAGGCGCCGTGCCGCGGCGCCGGGAGGCCGCCGAGCGTCGAGGGGTTGCCGGAGGTGCCGCCGCCAAGCGCCCCCCTTGCTCGGAGGCCCGCCGTCGTAGCTTCACCAGGGTTTCCTCCACGTCTGTGTGCATGACGCGGTCCACGGTGGCCTTCCAGACAGCAGGATCCGGCGATCTGTACGCGGCCACTCGACCTGGGGGCACTTCGAATAGCTGCGAGCATCGTGGCCTGTGCTGGAACTCCGTCAGCAAGGCGTCCGTGTCAGAGATCATGGAGCGGAGGCCGTAGAAAGTGTCGCCAGCGATCGTCGTCCCCCGAGCGTGGCGTAGATGATGGAGGACGTCCAGGTCGTTGACCGCAGCGGGAAGGATCCAATCCACGCACAGGCTGGGCACTGCCACGCAACTGAGCGGGCTACGCCGAGGTGGTGATGATGATCATGCGTACGCTGCAAATGATGTGTGTTGTAGACATATTCGTATTCTTCTCCTTCATCATCATCATCATTATCATCATCATCATCATCATCATCATCATCATCATCATCATCACCATCATCATCATCATCATCATCATCGTCATCGTCATCGTCATCGTCATCATCATCATCCTCATCCTCATCATCATCATCATCATCGTCGTCATCATCATCATCACAATCATCATCATCTTCACCATCATCATTATCATCATCACCACCATCATCATCATCATCATCAGCATCAGCATCATCGTCATCGTCATCGTCATCATCATCTCGGACAGATCACCTGCTGCAGCGCGGGGTCCTGCAAGATCGAGTGGGCCCTGGAGCAGTGCTCGGCCTGCACGTCGATGAACGCTCGGGTCGGGGGACTGGCACGGAGCAGCGAGGCGCGGCGGGCTAATTGCGCCACGGCGGGCGGCACCCGTGGCCCAGTGCACCCGAGCTGGAAGATCGCCAAGCCCTTGAAGACATGCCCAGGAAAGCCGGTGCCTGAATGAAACAACGCCCCTGCCATGGGTTACAAGTGCGTGGTCAGTAAACTTCCTGGGAGCTCCCACAGGCCAGAGAGCCGCCAGGACGCCGCGCGGCACGCGCGGGACGCAGGGCTCACCCTGTCAGCCCACAGGAGGTTAAGAGCAACGGCGCCTCATGAACCAGGGTAGGGGCGCAGGGGCGTTTTTTGCGCCCTTGGTGCCTGGCATGATTATCTCCATTGGGTTGAGGTGAAGGTGAACGACTGGGCTATGGGTGTCCGCTTGGCCGCCAAGAGCGGGGAGTGGCTGAGGTCCGTTGTGCTCTCGATGCCGTTCCTGCCCGTCTGGATTGGGACCGTGGCCGGCAGGTGGAGCGCGGCGGGACGCACCTCACCCGACATGCGACGCATGAGCTGCGGCAGGAGCGGCGCGAGCGCGTTGGCATCGGCGGGCGCTCAGAACGCCAGCGAGAGGCCGCGGCCAGGATCCCGAAACTCGTCGTCACCCTGCTGACGCCAATCCGGCAAGTTGCCCAGCGCAGTCGATGCCCGCAGCGGATTGGACGCGTGATCCCAAGACGTCAGGCCACTGCGTCATCACCTGCGTGCCTGCCGGGGTGCGCATGCAGTGGCAGCCGTGGTGCGAGCAGACGGCGCCGTTGGGCAACGGCCGAGGGCAGGGCCGCCTCGCAGTGGGCCGCCGCCGCATTGAACGTGTTGATGAAGTGCTCGGCGCGCCCGACGTCCTCAGCAGACCAAGAAGGGGGCCCGGCCAAGTCGCACAACTAGATTGCCGTCTTAGGGCGATTGGCGACCAGCACGTCGGTCGGGTCAGGCCCGTCAAGGAAGGCCAATCTAAGGACCTGCCTGGAGTTTTTAGTCTGAGAATCGTAGCCCAACTTGGACAAGATGGTGTTCAGGGGCACTCGGTTGGACTGGTAGGTCAGCCCAGCCGCACCCTCCGCCGCATCCAGAGTCGCAGCCATCAGCGGGAAATGCGTCTGGACCTCGTCCTCTACTAAGGCCGCGGAGGCGACGACGGCGTTCGGGAGCGCCATCGTGATACCTGGGGGCGCGGCAACGGCGACGCTCGCTGGCGGGGCTGGGAACGCGCCAACCTGATGAACTTTTATGATGGTCACTTTGCGGGAGTCGCCGATCATGAGGTTCCGGGTCCGCTGAATCAAGCCCGTGACATCGTCTTGCTGCGCAGCAGCGGGCACGCTCTGCCCCACAGCCCCGTGAACAGCGCAGAAGTTCCAGCCCCCGGGCCGCCTCGCAGGCCATCCCGTGACTCAAGCAGATCTGACAGGGTGGCAGTGCGTTGAGGCTCTAGGCTAGGCAGAAGTCTGAAAACCTCCCCAAGGCTATATGACGCAGCCAGGCAAGGAAGGGATCGCAAAGTTAGGACACGAGCCAGAACGCCTTGCGGGGCTGGCAGCTCAGCTCAGTCGAAGCGCCGCCGCGGCCGCGGCGGGCGGCTCGGGTCCTCCTCCTCCTCCTCCTCCTCCTCCTCCTCCTCCTCCTCCTGTAGCCTCTAGTCTGGTGGCATCGGTACCTCAAGATGCGGTGCCCCCCCCCCCTGAGCGGCCCGTGCCGCTGGGGGGACTGCTCAAACCGAGCGATCTGCGAAGGAGCCAGCGAGCACGAGGAGAGGACTCCCGGGGGCGGGGCATCCCTGCGGCCCTGGGAGGGACGGACGGGGGAAGGAAGGACGGGACGACGCGACGATCCTCCTCGTCCTCCTCACTTCCTACGTTTCGTTTTCGCAGGCTCTCCAGCTACAGCCGAGGCCAATCCGTGATCGACGTATGGCCCCACCTCGCCCCTCTCCTGGTCGACACGAGGGCGGCGGGTCCCGAGGAGAAACTCCGGCCCTGCTGCCCTCTCATCCCGCGCCGCTTCGTGACGGCCCCGGGACTCCGGGAGGGCTGGAGGAAGAAGCAGCACACGTGAACGTAAACGCTCGATGGCAGGCGCGGGCTTCTGGGATCGGCGCTGGACCTCCCCTGGTCGACCCCCAGTACCCTGATCCGCCTCTCTTCCCTAGGCGAGCGCTGCTGGGTCTCAGGGGCCAGAAGTGTCAGCAGAGTCGGCCGCTACAGCAGCAGCAGCAGCAGCAGCAGCAGCAGCAGCAGCAGCAGCAGCAGCAGCAGCCACAAGAGCAAGAGAGGCGTGCCTTGCACAGGACAGTAGGAGCTACCGGCGGCATCACGACAGTCGCCACCAACAGCTCGTTCACGGGAAAGCGGATGCAAGACGAGGCACCACTCAATCAAGGCCAGGACAGGACTCTGCTCCACCAGCCCACCCCCCCCCTCCCTCAGCTCTTCCCTCCCTCCCCCCCACCCTCGCTTCCCTCCCGTCTCCGCACCCCCCACTGCAGCCGGACGGAAGGAGCGCCGGCCTCGACCCTCTCGCCCCGCCCGGCGTCTACAGTCGGCCCGCATCAGAAGGATGCGCGATAAGGAAGCAAGGGCCTTGGACGCCCACTTCGAAGCTTCTCGAGCGGGGTGCGGCCAACGAGAGTGGCCAAGGATGGACCGAGGCGGCGAGAATGCAGGGGGTACCCCTGGGAAGGCTGCCCGTCCCTACTAGATTGCTATGCTGGTTGGCTGTACGCACGGCACGCGCCGTGGCATCGCCTCTCCCGCCTGGCACGGCCGACCGCGCGGTGTGGCTTCACCCGTATTGCGCGGGGCGCTCCAGAGGTTGGAGGCCTGGATGTGGGCACCAACACCAGCCCACGGTCATGCCGCAACCGTGGGAAGATGACCCTCGAACTCGGCGTTGGGGGTAGTACTTCGGCCACCCAGGACGCCAAATTGTTACCACCATCAACGAGATCGGGAGCACCTCCCCTCGGTGGAGGCACGCCGCCCACAGTTCTCTTGGTGTCAACCTCTAGGCTTCCCAAGAAGCGCTGCAGAGGCCCGCGGGCGTGGGCCGCTCAGGCGCCGCGGTCAGTCGAAGCGCCGCCGCTTCCGCGGCTGGGGGCTCGGCGAGCCCCCGGACATCGGGGAGGCCGCTCGCCTCGGGGAGGTCCTCCTCCTCCTCCTCCTCGACAATTACACAATATGAAAATACTCTCCCACTTCCCCTGATGGCGTCCGGAAGATATTCGGCACCCCCCCGCGTACTGTTTTTTTACACACAGGATTCCCCGGAGTTGGGTTTTCGCTTGTGTTTTTTTCTAAAATGCTGCTCTCGCTGAGGCGCCGGCCTCATTTCTGCTCCCGAATCGTTCCGAATCGTGCTCCCGCTGCAGCGTGGGCCTCATTTTCGGATCGGTGTTTGGCCTCCGTCGTTCAGGATGGCGTTCTCGCCCCAGCGCGGGCCTCTTTCTCGCGCGCCCATCCGCCCGCCACCACCGCACCACCACCACACCACACCACACCACACCAGCACCAGCACCAGCACCAGCACCAGCACCAGCACCAGCACCAGCACCAGCACCAGCACCAGCACCAGCACCAGCACCAGCACCAGCACCAGCACCAGCACCAGCACCAGCCACCAGCACCAGCACCAGCACCAGCACCAGCACCAGCACCAGCACCAGCACCAGCACCAGCACCAGCACCAGCACCAGCACCAGCACCACCACAACCACGCACACACGCACGCACGCACGCACGCACGCGCACCACCACCCACTACGCACGCGCGCGCGGAGCCACAGGTCCGCTACGACACGCGTCCGCGGATAGAGAAAATCAGCGCCATGGTAAGGGATGGGAGGGAGGGGTAGGACGTCAGATATGACGCGAGCGCACCTAGCTTGTCCTCCTCCCCTCCTTCTCCTCCTCTTTCTCCAGGAGGGGGGGGACGTTGTCGTCGCCATCGTCGTCGTCGCCAAGTACAACTGGGCCGTCATTTCCAGTCTGCTTCGGCGTCGTTGCCTGCGCCTGCAGATGCGCGGGTTCAGGCCCTGCTCCCCTTGCAAAAAGCCTCCGCGTCCTCGGCCTGTAGTTGCAGCACGTCTTCCTCGGCCATCATGGCCAACTCAGCTTGGGGCCCTTTCTAAAAGAAATGCCGATGTTGAACTGCGTCTGCTTCGAACGCCGCTGCCTGGCCCATGGCTTGACCTGGGTCGAGCCCGACGCTCCCCTCCAGAATGCGCTCTTTGCCAAGGCGCTGCGCCATCTGCTTCGTGGGGGATTTCGTCGGGGATCCAACTCGGCGCAATAGCCGGGCACCCAACCGAGAGGATTACCAACGCGCCCGTCTGAGCCATACCTTCGCTGGTCCCCGCATCGAAACAACCCGCCTCGATCGCCGCACACCTCGCGCAGCAATCGTTCGCGGCGCCCTCAGCGCCGCCGCGCGGGCTCCACCTCCGAGCTCGCGCGAACGAGCTGAGGCCTCGCGACCAACTGGGTCGCCATTGGCCAGGTCAACGGGTGGCTCAGAACTGCGAATACCTGCATCTCGCGCTTGGCCACCAAAACGCTGACATTCTGCAACATCCCTGCTAGTCGCTGAGCGCTGGCGCGAAATACACTGTTGGGCCGACACTCTTCCCTCCACCCCCGCAAGCATGGGCGCCCCCCCTCAGCGCGAAGTTATGCGGACCTTTTCTCGTCCGGTAAGGATGCCAATCCCCCCCCTGGACGAAACGTATAATGGCTCGAAGGAGGGCTCGCTGGCGACCTGGCCAAGGGGAAGGCGGTGCACCTGAGCAGCTGGCCGGGCGCCACGCGAGAGAGAACGTGAACGAGCCCTTTGCAGCCCGCGCGGCGCCCCCTTGGCTGGCGACAGGGCGCCTGCAGGCGCAGTCACGAGAGTTGCCGGTGCCGGGACAAGACATGTCGCGGGGGGGGGGTGCTTCGAAACCGCGGGGCCTGCAGGCGGCGCGCCGCATCTCCGCGTGGAGCTCGCACGGCCACCTCGGCGGCGGGCCGGCGTGCAAGAGATGTGGCTCCAGCAGGGCCGCGGCGTCGCGGGGCCCCTCTGGCCTCGACGCTGCGCGAGCTGCGCGGGTCTCTTCATGGCGCTGCGCTCGCTCCCGCCGAAGTGGCATCGCCGTCCACGGGTGCTCAAGCTCCGCGGTGCGGCTGCTCTTCAAGTCGGCCGCGTTCGAGATACTTGTCCTCCCGACGTGCCCTTCTCGCTTCTGCCCCTGCGCCGCCCTCTCGCGCGCAGCTTCCGAGCGCACGGGGCGGAACCAGACCAGCCCACAGGAGGCAGGCGGGAGTCGCTGGTGCTCGATATTCGACTAGGGGATCGGCTACAGAATTGATTTACCCCAACATTGATTTTTACGTCGACCCTTCAGCCAAAAGACGTCAACGATTCGTAAATCTGCGGAAGCTCTACGAATTGCCCGTGGATTCGACCAGAAAAATCAGTCCTGGGGCAAATGGATCTCTGTCGTCGATCCCCTGCTCAAGATACAGTCGGGGCGTTGACCTAAGGAACCCTAAATAAGGAACGGGGCCCCTTTTTCCCATAAGTTACACTTCGATCTCCCATGGAAAACCTAAGGCAAGCTGTAGAACAATCAAGGAACACCGAGCCCCTCCCCAACGAAAAGGGTTCCTTCTTCAGGGCCCCGACTGTATGCTTCCTCCTGCGCTCCTGAACGCCAATTCTGTCTGCGATGAGCCGGTGGTGCCTGCTGTGCCTCCTGCCCTCTTGCTGCCCACGCTGAGCCTGGAAAGCCTCTTCCTTCTCCTGCCGCCGTTTAGCGGCGGCATGGTCATTTGCTGTCACCAAGTTCGACGTAAGCTGACCAGTCGGTCTGCCAATGGTAATGCGGGATACGATTAATAAAAAATGGGAGGGAACGATTTAAAACATAGTTTCCTGCCATTTGTGCACAATTTTCTGACTGGAGGGGAATGGTTTAAAACATAGTTTTCCAGCCCGCGGCCGGTTATTTCTAATCGTCATCCAGGGCGCCGCCGCGTGAACACGACCCCCGGTCATTTATTAATCGTCATCCTCAATTATTTGCTGTTACCAAGTTCGACGTAAGCTGACCAGTCGGTCTGCCAGTGGTAACCATCCGTGCTGCGCACAATTTCTCCATCGGGCTGCTCAGCTGCGCGGCGAACCTCTGCCCGACGAATCGCGATCTCACTTTCAGAAGTTCCCATGACATGTTTCATCGTAGGCTCCTATTTCATCGGCCCCCCCTCCACTTTCACAACATGCACTGGCATAGCCGTCGCTGCTCTTGACTTCCGAACAGCCATGTAATGCAAATTCCGCTTAGACTTGAAGCTGGCCGGCGGCGGGAGGATTAGCGAAGTCGGCTTCGCTGCACCTGGTGCTGGAGGTGCGGGGGGGGTAGCTGATCCTGAACTTTTAACGATCGGCGCGAGTGCTCCGTCATGCGACTTGCTTTGTCACCCCGGCTGATGCAGCCCAGCCTCAGTTTGAACTTCGTGGCGGTGCTGGGCGAAAGATGCCACGTAGCGAAGATGCTTACCGCCCACGCTAGGACTCGGTGAACGCATGGGCCGAGGAGCCAAATCAATACCGCAGCCGCCTCCAAAGGGCCCAGAAAGTGGTAGCAATATGAATAATCGAACTGCGCCAGTGCTGCTGCTGCTGCTGCTGCAACTGCTGCTGCTATCTTGCCCCTTGGTGGAGGAGGAAGCGTTGGCGGGCGCGGTGGCGGCGGTGGCAATGGCTCCGTCGATCCTGACACCGAAATCCCCGTTTTGGCCGCCACAGCCTGAGCAAGACACTGTCTTCTACCATGTCCGGCATCTCCGTCTTCATAGCGGATCTCTTGAACTTCATCGTCGCCTTGCTGACTAATTCCTCTCAGGAGGCCTTTGTGGTGATCAAGCATAGTTGACCCGACGAGGACTTCACCATCGAGGGCATGCGCCTTTTCCAACTGCGCCATGATCATCTCCTCTCGGTGCGCAATGTTGAGCTTGCCCTCCTTTCTCAGGGTTGGGTTTCTTGTGGAAGATTGGGGTCTCAGGGTTGGGTTGGGATTGTTTGTGGAAGGTTCCCTTGTGGTCGCGCTCCTGCCGTGAGGCAGCCCTCGCGCGCGGTCCGTCTGCCCTACGCCCCTCGACTTCAGCTTCAGTGCTCGCACAGGGTGCCGCGCGACTCGATGCTGCCTTTGTCGGCCGCGGCTGACTCGACACTCAGATGGGGGGGCCTGGGGGATGTGGGGCGGAGCGTTGAGCAAATCTTTCTTTGTTGGAGGAAACGGGGGGAGAGAGAGAGAGAGAGAGAGAGAGAGGGAGACAGAGAGAGAGAGAGAGAGCGAGAGGGAGCGAGAGGGAGCGAGAGAGAGGGAGAGAGAGAGAGCGCGAACGTCCGCTGAGCGTCATACCGACATTCACTTCGCCACGCCTGTCAGGGGCCCCGTCCTCGGACAAGCAGCGGCAACCGTTGAACACATAGTTGCATTACTTGTCCAGGGGGGGGGGGGGGGAAGATCCGTGGCTCCCTGCGCGGAGGGAACAGTGGGAGGGAGGAGGATGAGGAAGAGGAGAAGGAGGGGCGGAGGAAGAGGATGAGGATGAGGAGGAGGAGGAGAAGGAATGAAGAGGAGGAGGAGGAGGAGGAAGAAGAGGAGGAGGAGGAGGGAGGCCAGGGGGCGGGGGGCGTCGCCGTGGTTCCCTGCGCGTCTCCGCGCTCCTCCGGGCGATGCTTCTGGAGTTCTCCTTGGCGGGGGGGTCGCCCCTGCCGCTCCTCGGCGCGGGGGGGGGGGGGGCAAAGCGCCCTCTCGCGGCCTTCCTCCTCGCCCCCTCGGTCTCCTCCTCCGGGCCTCTCCCTTCTGCTCGCCGAAACCCGGCGTGCTCCTCCTCCCGTTCCTTCCCTTCCTCTTCCGCGCTCTTTTCCTCCTCAGACCCCCGCCTCCGCCCCTTGTTCCTCCCACCCACCCCAGGCAACACCATCATCCAGATGAGCTCCCCTGATGTTCCATACCATGTCCATGCTACAAGCGGTCCCCCAACGCCTCCTCATCCTCGCGCTCCCCATCGCTTTCCTCCTCCACATCCTCTCCATTGGCCCTCTCCACCGTGCATCTCTGCCACGTGCTATTACCACTATGTAGGCTGGATGAGCCTGGCGCTTGTTTCGCGTCTGTGCGAAACGCAAGCACTACTGTGAACTCGCCCTCCTCCTCTCCCTCCGCCTTCTCCTCCTCCTCCTTCTCCTCCTGCTCCTCCTCCTTCCAGTCCGCTTCCTTATTATATTATCGCCTTCCTCCCCATCCTTGCCCCCTTTTCATTATCCCCCGCATCCTCTCCCTCCTCCTCCTCCTCCTCCTGCTCCTCCTCCTATTCGTCCTCCTCCTCCTCCTCCCCCTCCTCCTCCTCCTCCTCCTTCTCCTCCTGCTCACCTCCTCCTCCTCCTCCTCCTCCTCCTCCTCCTCCTTCTCCTCCTTTTCCTTTTTCTCCTCCTCCTCCTCTTCCTCCTCCTCCTCATCCTCCTCCTCCTCCTACTTCTCCTCCTACTCTCATCATCATCATCATCATCATCATCATCATCATCATCATCATCATCATCATCATCATCATCATCATCATCATCATCATCGTCATCATCAACAAAGTACGCTGTTTTCGCGCCCCCGACGCAACTATCCCTCGACAATGACGCCGCATTCGCGCCTCCGAGGTCACGAGCCCTCGCACATTATGCCAACATCGTGCCCCTGGGGTCACGATCCACCGTAAATCACGCAACATTCCCGCTCCCGAAGCCGAAATCCCAAATAAATTACGCCACGAAGCCCTTACGGATACATGAGGGCGAAGCGACGTTCAATGTCTCAGAAGCACGTGCCCGATCCACGGCTGAGAACAGTTTAGCGACTACTGTCATGTACTTCACGTTGCGGGCGAGCCCCCCGCAGAAAGAAATCATGCTGTATGCTTCTGAAGAAATCCTTCAGCAGTTCGCCACGAAGGAGTCCTTTTGTAACCCGCCACAACCAGAATCCTTTTCGAATTTGCCACGCAAGGAACCCTTTTGTAGGTCCGCCACAGAAGGAATCCGTTTATAATGAGCCACATAAGGAATCATTTGGTAATCCGCCACCAAGGGGATTCTTGTAAGGCGGACGTACAAGTTCTCAGGAGGTACCAAGGAACAAACAAACAAAATATACTTTCAGGGAACAGAATCACACGCATGGGATTCTCACGTGTTTTGGTGTCTGTTTGGTTGGGCACCCCCGCCACACAAGGAATCCTTGTGTAATCTTTTTGTGGCGGATTAAACTAGGATTCCAGTTATGGCTGATTACAACAAGGATTTTTTTGTGGCGGGGCTACTCGTCCAACAGCTCATCAAAAACCGTATAAAATCCTTTAGGTGATTGTCTCCTTTTCCTTTCCCCTGATTAGTTTTCTTGTTGTCCCCTGGTACTTCCTGAACCGTCGATCATCTTCTACGTCCGCCTTAAAAGAATTCCTTGTGTGGCGGATTCCAAAAGGATTCTTCTGTGGCGGGTTGCGCAAGGATCCCTTCTGTGGCGGATTCCAAAAGAATCCCTTTTGTGGCGGATTGCACAAAGATTCCTTTGTGGCGGGATACGAAAGGATTCGTTCTGTAGTGGATTGCAAAAAGATGCCTCATGCAACGGGTTTCAAAATCATTCCTTTTTGCAGGGAGTTACACACGAATTCCTTTTTGTGGCAGGGCTGCTAGTCCAAAACTCATCAGAAAGCCTGAGGGTCCCATAGTTTTGTCTCCTTTGTCTCCTATGTCCCGGTTTGCCTCTTTTGTCCCCTCTTTGTCCCCGTTTGTCCCCTTTGCTCCGTTTGCCCCCTCTGTTGGGAATAGGCACGGCAGCGCACATCCTGCAGTGACCAGCGGCACGTACCTGGGATGGCCAATAGGGCCGCTTGGCGGACGCAGCAATCCGTGGTCCACAAGCTCCTTGAAAGATTCCGTCCGTGCATCCACGTTTCCACCCGGCAGAATATCCTTACCGAGCCCTGTCTTCCGAGTCGCGGCCAAAAAAAAGGAATTGTTCGTAATCCGCCACACAAGGACTCCTGGCGTAACCCGCCACAGAAGGAATCATTTTGGAATCCGCTACAAGGAGAAGTAAGTCTTTAAGGCGGGCGTACAAGTTGACCGACGGCTCAGGGGGTATCAAGGGGGGAATACAGGAAAAATGGCCAGTGGAAAAAAAAACCTATAGGATTCTCACGTTTCTTGATGAACTTTTGGTTGGGGGTCCCCGCCTCACAAGGAATCCTTGTGTAATTATTTTGTGGCGGATTCAACTAGGATTCCCGTTATGGCTGGTTACAACAAGGATTTTTTGTGGCGGGTCTACTCGTCCACAAATTCACAAAAAAAAACGCAAAAATCCTTTAGGTTATGTTATTCTGTTTCTTTGCCCCTGATGATTTGTCTTGTTTTTCCCTGGTACTTCCAGAACCGTCGGTCAACTTCTACGTCCGCCTTAAACGAATTCCTTGTGTGGCGGATTCCAAAAGGATTCTTGCTGTGGCGGGTTGCGCAAGGACCCCTTTCTGTGCCGGATTCCAAAAGAATCCCTTTTGTGGCGGATTGCACAAAGATTCCTTTGTGGCGGGGTACGAAAGGATTCGTTCTGCAGTGGATTGCAAAAAGATGCCTCATGCAACGGGTTTCAAAATACTTTCTTTTTGTGGGGGCATTGCACAAGGATTCCTTTTGTGGCAGGGCTGCTAGTCCAAAACTCATCAGAAAGCCTGCGGGTCCCATAGTTTTGTCTCCTTTGTCTCCTATGTCCCGTTTTGCCTCCTTTGTCCCCTCTTTGTCCCCGTTTGTCCCCTTTGCTCCGTTTGCCCCCTATGTTGGGAATAGGGACGGCAGCGCACATCCTGCAGTGACCAGCGGCACGTACCTGGGATGGCCAATGGGGCCGCTTGGCGGACGCAGCAATCCGTGGTCCACAAGCTCCTTGAAGGATTCCGTCCGTGCATCCACGCTTCCACCCAGCAGGATATCCTTACCGAGCCCTGTCTTCCGAGTCGCGGCCACAAAAGGAACTGTTCGTAATCCGCCACACAAGGAATCCTGGCGTAGCCCGTCGCATAAGGAATCCTTTTGGAATCCGCCACAAAGAGAAGTCTTTAAGGCGGGCGTGCAAGTTGACCGACGGCTCAGGGGGTATCAAGGGGGAGTACAAGAAAAATGACCAGTGGAAAAAAAAACGTATAGGATTCTCACGTTTCTTGATGAACTTTTGGACTAGTAGCCCCGCCACAGAAGGAATCCTTCTGCAATCAGCCACAAAAGAAATCCTTTGTAATCCGCCACAAACAGATTACAAAAGGATTCCTTGTGCGGCGGGGGTACCCAACGAAAAATTCATCAAAAAACGTGAGGCACACTTTTTTTTCCATGTTTTTTTACCCCCCCAGGTGACCCCCTGAGCCGTCGGTCAACTTGCACGTCCGCCTTAAAAGAATTTCTATGGTGGCGGATTCCACAAGGATTCCTTTTGTGGCGGATTAAAAAACGCGTTCCTTTTGTGGTGGGCCTACAAAAAGATTCCTTGTGTTGCAAATTCGAAGAGGATTTTGATAGTGGCGGGTTACAAAAGGATTCCTTTTGTGGCGGGTTGCGGAAGGATTCCTTTTGTAGAAAATAGCAACATGATTTCTTTTTGCGGGGGGGCTACCCAACGTTTACGACGGCGTCGAAGCAAGAAGAGGCGCCAGGCTCATCCAGCCTCTTCCCCGCCTCTCAGAGGAGCGGCATCCCAGCCAGATGCACGACAAACCATTCGAGCTACCCCTCAACGCTCACCCCTGACCCCGCACCACCCCATCCTGCCCCTCCTGCTCTTCCGGTGTTTCTCATTCGTCCCCCCTTTCTTCTCGTCTCTTCCTCGTCCACGTCCTTCCTGCGCGCTGCCATCCTGATCTCCCTCCTGCTGCCCCCGACTGGCACATGGGACCTTTCCTTCAGGTAGCGGAGGCGCCCCGCTTCTCATCCCCCCGAGGATGCCCCGCCGCGACAGGCGAACGAGGGGGCCAGGACTGCAGACAGGGCTCCTAGCTGGGCCGCTCCAGTCCGACAAACATGCACCACTCGGGGAAGACGGTGCGGTCAGGAGCTTTTGCTGAAAATTTCACGGCGGCGGCCGCCCCGGCGACACGCCATGCCTTGCCAGCGGGTGGCGTGTCCCTCCGCCCCGCGGGCCGGGAGGCTCGGAAAAGCTCGAGACGTTGAAGCCTGGGGACCGCGCAGTGGATAGCGTGTCGCGCCGAAGCGTGGTAGGCCAGAATCGGCGGATGGACACGCTGCCCCAGGGTGTTCCCGACCGGTGGTTCACACATGGGGTCTTGGGGGATGAGGTCTTACGGACGAGGTTCCACAAACAACGTAAACTCCCCCTAGGGCCCCTTCCTATCCGTAGGACCCCATCCCTCAAGACCCCATCTTCGAGCCTCCGACCCGACCGCGCTGCTTCCGCCAGCTCTCTGCCAGAATCTGCCGGCGGAGACGGCCTCGCGCGACGTGTCCGCCGCCATGCGCTGGCCCTCACTCGAGGGCGGGGCGGCGGAGAGGGGGCCAGTTTCTCCGACCCCCTGAATGAATTTATCTGGACGTAGAGTCAAGCGCCAGCTCCCAATGCTAGGGGAACAAAAAGTGGCATAAACATGAAAACTCGGATGTCCGCGCGGATTTCTCGGATCGGCGCTGGACCCCCCTCCCTGGCGCGCGGAGCGCGCCAGGGGCGGCGCCGGAGGCGCCGCTGGGGGGCCCCAGCGCCGATCCGAGAAATCCGCGCGGACCTCCGAGTTTCTGTTTTATGCCACTTTTTGCTCCCCCAGTCGGGTCAAGCGCTAGCTCCGTCCCAACACCGTGCGGTGACCCCGAATCCCCACCGACTCACCGCACGGTGTGGTCACCACCCCGTCCGGGGACCCCCGAAGCTCCCAATGCGCGTTTTCGACCCGCGGGTCGAGAGCGAGCCTCTTCCGACAGAAGCTGAGCGGGCCGCGCACAGCTTGAATCAGCAGACGGGGGGGGGCAAAAGAAGGCGGGGCCGCACGTCAAGCTCCCCGTGCACACGTCGACGATGTGCCCCGAGGCGGAGCAGAGAGGCGCGGTGCGGTGGGGCTCGGCCTCTCCGAGCCCTCGCCGAGGGGGCGGCGCCCTCTCCTCGAGGAGTCCCTCCGGGTGCAGGTCCCTCGCCGCTGGGGCAGGGGGCCCCGCGGGTTTCGAGGGGCCCACGGAGCCCCAAACAAGGAGGAGGAGGACGAGGAGGACGAGGAGGAGGAGGAGGAGGAGGAGGAGGAGGCGGATGAGGAGGAGGAGGAGGAGGCGCCATATATTCCAGGGCTCATCACGTTTGCAACACTTGCTGGCCTTCTCTTTCCCCCATCCGCTTCCTCTGTTTCCTAAGTTCCAGGGATGTACCTATATATATATATATATATATATATATGCATATACATGTTCATTTCTACTGGTCCTCGTGCTCATCTTTCCCTCCTGGAGTTTGGAGCGCTCCAGAAACGAGTGGACGGCCAGGGCAGGGCCAGTAACCTCCGCCACAGCAAGTCCCTCTCTCGACGGCAGCGGGGCGGTCCCGCGGTCGGCGCCGCCCCTGCGGTCGTCGTCGCCCCTGCGGTCGTCGCCCCTGCGGTGCTGCCGCTCTGCTGGGGGAGGAAGGGTGGTGGTGGTGGTGGCCACTGCACAAGGCAAAGCAGTCGCGACCACGGCGACGCCGACGACGACGTCGGAGAGCGCGCAGACGAGCCGCACCGAAGCACGGCTTGGGGAAAGGGCCCGCCCTGCAGGCAAGGATGGAGGGGGTGAGGCTAAGGGTGAGCATGCGGCGGCTCCTGCGCGACGGCGGGGCCCGACGGGATGCTTCCCCGAGCGGCCCGCCCTCGGCAGGGCGAGGCACCGGGCGAACCGAGACTGAGTCAGCAAGGGCTCCCAACTTCGCGCTTCGCGCTGCGCGAAGCGCGAAGTGCGAATAACTTCGCGCTCTCGCGCCGCCTCCCAGGAGAGAAGAGGAGGATGAGGAATCGGAGCCGAAGCGCGAAGCGCGAAGCGCGAATAACTTCGCGCCCTCGAGGGCGCCCTTGGTCAGACTGAGCCCTGGACAGCCAGGGGGGGGGGAGAGGGCCGAGCCATGTTCCCGGGCGCAGGGGCCCAGCCAACCCCTGCCGGCGTGAACGCTCTGAGCAGGCGGCCCCCTCGCCAGCAGAGGCACGTCCCGCTCCAGATGTCCTTGCGTGTTGGCGCTTCAGAGGAGCTCCCGCTCCAGGCACCCTCCGAATTCAATCCTCAGGGCTCCATCACTGCCGGCAGCTGCAGGTCTCGGATGATCCCTCGGATTGGTAACATTATCTCGGGGAATCATTGGGAGGAGGTTCCCGAGAGACTTCCTCGCAATTCGCTCACAGACGAGGTTTCCGCTCGAGACTTCCTCCAGATTCAGCAGCGGCTACACGTTTGGGATGACCCCCATCGGATTGGTAACATGATTCTGAGGGCCTAGAGAAAGAGGGCTCCCGCTTGAGACTACCTCGCATTTCGCTTACGGAGAAAACTCCGAGTGAAGTCCCCAGGAACTCAAAAGAGACGATGATTATATTGTGCCCCACCTCCTGAATGACTTCGTTGCTTCATCTGGGTACCCCCCCGCGCCGTGAACATAACTACCTGACCCTGTCCTCGTCTCCTCCTTCCACACTCACCATCACCATCACACCACCATCATCATAAGTATCACCATCCCTTCATGAGCATCGCCCATCGTGATCATCACCTTCATCATCATCAGCAGCCTCAACATCATCACCACCATCATCCTCCTCTTCCTCATCATCCTCATTCTCATCCTCGCGCACTCTCACACACTCGCGCACGCTGACTCGTACGCACACTCAAGAGGCCTGCATTTGGGGAACATCTCGAGCGGGAGCCTCGTGAACCGCGAGGAAGCCTCGAGCGGGAGCACCTCATCACTTCGTCACACGGGAGCGGGAGACCAACGAATACGAGCAGCGCTACAGCTTAAGCATACACGGCGACCTTACACTTACAAAACAAACGGCAAGCAGCATGGTACTGCTGAGTAGGGGGGGCACTGCCCACCCAAGAGGTCTGGGCCTTCCAGGTTCAAAGAGCGATACCAACATCGCACAATAAGAACATGCTCCTACATTGAACGTATACCGTCACGACTGATATCAGACATGAACGACCAACGCCATTAACACGCATTACTAACAACATTGGCAGCATCGGTCCGGACCAACCACCACCAATTGACAGCAAATGCAAGCCGTACAAGCATGAACTACGAATCAAAACCACTGGCACACAACAGTACATGCTTACATATACGCAAATACACGCAACAATCATATGCTAAGCACATAGACCAATGTCGCTCACAAGGAACATCCACACCCAAGTTCCAGACACCAGCAATTCACCAACGACACACACACATTAACAACACACGTCAACCAGTTCACCGAGACCGAACATCACGCAGCCACACCATGAGCATGAGCCAACCCAAAACATGCACAACGCTGGCGAAGAACACAGAGAAAGTGCCTTCAGAGGGAGGTACCCACATCAATCTCATACACCAGCGATTCATAAGTGACAGTGTTAACATCACAGAACCACACAGGAACAACGCATGCAGCAGGTTTGCACACACACACACACATTACGCACACAACAACCCGTTATATCTGAAAAACAAAAAACAAAGAACAGAGATACTACACTGCACCTCCTGCCACTCTGCGAGGGGCAGGGTCACACGCAGCAGACCTGGACACACCACTCGCAGAAGCCACCCTCGTGAGGACCTCCCGGGGCCGCGCATGATGTTTATGATCGTGGGCGTGCACTGCGCGGCTGCTGGCTCCCTGAGCCTCGGCCCCGGGCGCCAGGGGCGAGCGCCCTCCCACCGCCAGGAGCAGCGTCAGTAGAGGCCTCGCAGATGGGGTCGGCGTAGATGGGTTCGGAGGATCGCGCCGCATCGCCGATACCTCGGCGATGCATCGGCGATGCCCCGGCGATGCTTCGCCGACGTCGGCGTGAAGCAAAGCGGGCTCCACGATCGAGCCGCATCGCCGAGACATCGGGGCTGCGGCGCGATCCTTCGACCCCATCGGCTCCGACCCCATCTGGGAGGCCTAGAGTCAGGGGGGGAGCAGGCTCAGGGGGGGGAAGCCTCGACCCCCCAGAATCGCCCACTCCTCGCCCATCATTGAAGGGGCCCTGGGACACACAAATAAATACACACAAATAACTAGACTCCCCACATTTTCCCATGTTTTCTGGGTTTTCGTCTTCCCCCCCAATTCCCATAATTTCGCATATTTTCCTTGGAATCGAAGATTCATTGTGTCTGTATGTTTTTTCCCCTCCTGAAGAATCGCCCATTCCTCGCCCATCATGTGGGCCTGACAGCCTGCCCCGCCCGATGACGTGCGGCTTCGCGGCCGGCGGCCAGCCGCTCACCGCCCCGGGGCAGCGGGCAGGCACCGCTGCTGCCCCCCGGGTGCGCTCTGACCAGCTCGCCAGGGCGGGCCCTGCCTCGGCGACGAGGGCCGCCTCGGCCCGAACCGAGAAGAACGAGGGCCGGCTACACGCAAGAGTGACCCTGGGTAAGAGTGACCTTTGGTGCGCGGCTGTCTGGGGGGCGCGAGGAGGCCAAACGCCAGCGCGCAAGACGCTAGTGTCGCAAGGAGCGCGGCGATCGGGGGGCCCCCGTGAGCGCGCACCGAAGGTCACTCCGGCGAAGGGTCACTCTTACGCCTAATGGAGGGGAGGGCAGCGGCATCTGCACCACCTCTTCCCCCCGGCTTCGGCTGCGCGCAGGGGGTGGCCCCAGACAAGAGGTTGACCCCACGGCGCGCGTCCTGCGGGCCGCTGCGCGCGATGCGGCAGTGGCGGCCTGCGTGCTTGGGCTTGGCCCCCTTGCGACCCCGAAGGCGGCGCACCCAAGGTCACTCTGCCTCCTCCTCCTCCTGCTCCTCCTGCTCCTCCTGCTCCTCCTGCTCCTCCTCCTCCTCCTCCTCCTCCTCCTCCTCCCTCCTCCTCTCTCCTCCTCCTCCTCCTCCTCCTCCTCCTCCTCCTCCTCCTCCTCCTCCTCCTCCTCCTCCTGGCGAAGGGCCGCTCTTGCGCAGGTGCGGCCGGTGACTGTCGGCCCCCCTTTCTCCCCAGGAGGCCCTGCGCGGGCGCGCGCCCCCCCACGGTGCCCGCCGCCTGTGGTCGGCGCCCCCGCGGTCGCCGCCACGGTCGCGGGCCCCGCCCCTCTGCGCCGCCTCCAGGTCCGCCTGGCTGGGGCCGAGGAGGTGGCACTCCTCCGTCTCCTCCTCCTCCTCCTCCTCCTCCTCCTCCTTCTTCGTTTCTTCCTCATCCTCCTCGTCCTCCTCCCCCTCCTCGTCCTCGACCCTTCCTCCTTCCTCCTCCTCCTCCTCCTCCTCCTCCTCCTCCTCCTCCTCCTCCTCATCCACCTCCTCCTGCTCCTCCTCCTTTCGTTGGAGTTGCTCGGGCGTCATGCTAAAACACGAAGCGTTCTTCCTCCTCCTCCTCGTCCTCCTCCTCCTTTTGCTCCCCCTCTTTTTGCTCCCCCTCCACTCCCCCCCTCCTCGCACTCCCCCTCTTCATCGTCTCCCCCCTCCTCCCTCCTCCTCAGACGCCCCATCTTCACATTCCCCCCCTCCTCCTCCGCTGCGCCGCCCCCCTGCCCACTCACTCTTGCCCGCCATTGCGGTTAGGAGTGAGGGGGCAGAGGGGGCGGGGGATTGGTCGGCAGCCTGGCTCGAGCGCAAGTTCGAGGAAGCCCGTCGCAGGGGCTGGTGTCCCACACGTTACACGACAGGCCCACGGCAGGCGCAGTGTCGTGTCAAAGCAGTGTCTTGGTGGGTCGAGATGGGGGGCCGCGGGTGGGTCGCGGATGGGTCACGCGCGGGTCGCGGATGGGTCGCGGGCGAGAATGCACACCACGGATGGCCGCTTCAGGCACGCATCGCGGGATGGCGTAAGATCGCTCGGCACCTCCACTCTTACACATGAAAGAGAGACATATAAAAAAAGAGAGAGAAGGAGAGTAATAAACGGAAAAGAGAGAAAGAGAGAGAGAGAGAGAGAGCGAACGACAGAAAGAGAGAGAGAGAGAAGCACACCAACTAACGAAAACGAGAGACCCCCCGCCAAAATAACGAGAACAAGCAATACCTATACAGGTATCGGCATACAGAAGGGAGAGGGAGAGCGAGGGAGAGAGAGAGAGAGAGAGCAACAACAACAACAACAAACATAACGCAACAATCAACGAAATAACGAAACAACAACATGCGAGAGAACGATGGAAGGAGAGGCACTAGAGGTCAGGCAAGACACGCGTTCCTGGAAGAAAAGGGGGGAGGGAGCAAGAAGCCAAGGAATATCTGACAACCGTGCAACAACTCATCGTACCTGTCTATTGTAAATGTATTCTGCGACCAGCGCCTCCGCAAGAATCCGGCAAACATTAACGTGATCTACTTTGCCCGATCTGGCACACCGCTTCAGCTAGCCAATCAATTGCCCCAGCTGGCAAATTCCGAGCCCTGGCAAGTGGGGGGGGGGCGGGTGGGACGGGGAAGGGAAGGGGAGGGGAGGGGGGAACGATGAAAGGGGGGAGGGCAGGAGGGGGCGAGGGGGTGATGGTTAGGGGGAGCGGGTGCGGGGGGAAGACGAGGAGAGGGAGCACGAGGGGGAGGGAAAGGCAGGGAAAGGGGAGGAGGCGGGAGGGAGAAGAGGGATGGAGGGGGTGGGGGGGCTGAGGGGTCGAGGAGGAGAGCGGGGGGGAGGGGAAGGTGCAACGGGGCAAGCTGGGCACTCTCGCGCCACATACGGCAGCCTGCCGCCCGACCGCCCACTCCATCGCATGTCGCTGACGTGAGCCATATCCGCCGACTGGGATATCCCAGGGGGCCTCGATCCCCAACGTGGCCACATTGTGTGATGCGCAACAAGGAAGGTAGGCGTTGTACACGAAAGGAAGAGAAGGACGGCAAGGAAGAGGCGGCGGATGAACGAAGACGGGCAACAGGAAGAGGAACGATGAGCCAGGAGGAGGACGAGGAGCAGCAAGCCCTGGAGTAGGAGCAAGAGGACTAGGGAAAGTACGGGGAAATGGCGGGGAGGAGGGAAGGGGGGCTGCGCCGACACCGTTTCAGCTGGCGAGCTCCTGGTCCCACATGGACCCACTGGCCCCTGCAGGGGCCATCAGGCTGCAAAGCTATCTTCAGCAGCATGAAATGCTTCGTTCGGTTAGTCCAACTCGGCATCTCACAACATTGCTAAGCTGTGGCAATGCAACGTTTGAAGCCCAGTCCTTCCGCCCGGTACAATCATCAACCATCATACGTTCGCCCTTATCCAGCTTCTCAGTTGTAAAGATGGGACGCGTTCGCGTACTCAAGGACGCGGTCGCTAATACAACTAGCTTGGCTTGCGCACCCGACGCCAAGACCCCTGACAAAGCAACTAAATGGATCCGCGCCCCCATGGACATGACCCGTCGCTGCATGAAACGGACCCCCCTTCCAAAGGACACGACCTTCTGCCAAACTATAACAGGTCCGCACTCCCAATATCACGACCCCTTGACAAACGATTATGGCTCGCGCTTCCCAATGCACGGTCCGTGGCAAAGAAGATTCTCCCGCTGCCATGTCCGCGATCTCGCGCAAAGAACCACTGACCCGCTCTCTCGGACTCACCAGGTTCTGTCCTTGAACCAAAAACATACATGTCAGCGTGGGCACCAAGCAGCAGGTGCAGTATGCGTGGTGGAAACGATGCGTTGCAAACAATATTGTGCAACCTACGCAGGGCAATATGTGTGGCGAAAGCTGTGTGTGGCAAGCTATGTGGTGCAAACTGAAGGGTGGCATCGATGTGGTGCAGGATATGGTTATAATCGGCGCGTTGCAACTTACGGTATGCAATACGCATGGTGCAACCTCTGTGCTACCATTTAATTACCGTCGTATTACATGTTATGTTAGGCGGTGTCACCTGGGCGGTCCTGAATATGTAGAACATCGGCGTGGTGCATGGAATTAGCGCAATGAGCATATATGTATACACCTAGACATATATGTGCGCGACAATGTATACTAAAAACACACGCGCGCTTCGCGCGCGCTCAGTTTCTAGCGCAGCCCAAGCCAACCTCACAAGATGGGATGGGGATGGACACCATCCCGCAAGGATTACCATATGGGAGCGTGGTTCCTGATGGACGCCTCAGGAGTCGCTGGATAAGGCTCCAAGACATCGCGCAAGGCAGCGCAGCGCAAGGGGGGGATGCCAGCGAGCCCCTAAGAGCCTGGCAACACCATGCTGGGGGTCTCTTTGGCTGCCTTAAGGGGATGTCCCTGGAGGGCTCTTGGGAGCCTATGGGGGATGCGACATCTCCGGTTTTTTTTATTGGGGGGCTCCTGGTGGGCTCTCAGGACTTTTTTGGGGGCGCCTCGGGTGCCTCCCTGGGGATCTTGGCGTCGGGGCTCCAAAGTGTCGGCTTCGATTCCCGCTCACGTCCTCGTCTTGGAGCTGTCCGAAGGATTGCAAAAAAACCCAGGATTGCAAAAAAGGATTGCAACGAAGGATTGCAAAAAACGCAGGATTGCAAAAAAACCTGCAATCATTCGTGCAGGGTTTCTTTGCAATCCTTCGTTCAGGGTTTTTTTGCAATCCTGCGGCCCCTTGGGCCGTTGTGGCGCTCTCTTGGTTCATATTCGGGCCGTCGCGGGGACCTCTTCGGCTGACTTGGCGCTGTCTTGGGGACCCCTTGGACCGCCTGCAGCCTTGGACGGCCGAAACAGCATGAGGGAGGCGGAGCAGGAAGGCGTGACGGAGAGACGAGGGGGAAGATGGAAAATGACGCAGCGGGGCTGGTGTCGGTCACTCGCCGGGGAGGGGGGTCGTTCCCAAGGGAAATATCAAAAGAACGAACAGCGAGCAGTCGGGAAGACGGAAGCGCATGAGGGAGGCGGAGAGAGGAAGGTGTAACGGAGAGACGAGGAAGAGGGAAAAGAACATGACGCAGCGGGGAGGGAGGAGGAGGAGAGGAAGGAGAAGGATGTGGACCGAGAGACGGAAGAAAACTAAGAGCGAAGAACACAAACAATGATAACAAACAACGAGGGATGGGGAAAACGGAATGCCACTCTGGGGCTCGCCAAGGCCTGGGACAGGAGGGAACGGAGGGGGGACATAGACATTGAAAACAGCAATTGAGGGATCCTCTTTGTTTGTCAAGTTGGGTCTTCTACCAATTTGTGGAGCAGGATGCTGGGCGAGACAGGCAGACGGAGGGAGGAGTGAACGGAGAGATGAGGATGAGGATGGGGGAGACGGAATCGCATGAGAGAGGCGGACACAGGAGGGCGCGAAGAACGAGGAGGAAGCAGGAGGGACCATATCGCAACGGGCGGGAGGGAGGCAGAGAGGAAGGAGGAGGGCGTGGAACGGGAGACGCAGGAGAACCACGACTCCGAGAGAGAGAGAGAGAGAGATAGCAGGAAACACGGGCAGCGAGGACTGGGGGGGGGGACGGGAACGCACTCTGGGGAACGGAGGGGGGCGGCGGGTCGAGCTTGAAACAAACAGGATCCGAGGGGATCCCCTTTTTGTTCCAACTTGGCTCTGGAAGGCCCCAGGACAAAACCACTGCAGAACCTCAAGAACATCTGCAACACTCTTGTTCTCACCCTTCCGCCTCCGATGCGCCTTCTGAGGCCTGCGCATGCCCACACAGGCCGCTGGGGGCGACTCGTGGGGGCGTCGCGGAGCTCTCCCGGGGGGCTCTGGGGAGCTCTTGAGGGCCTCTCGGGGCCCTCTTCGGCACTTGGTGCCTCCGGGGCGGCTCCTGGGAGCTCGTCGGGGCCTGCTCGGAGCGGCCTTGGGGCCTTGGTGGTGCCCCTTATGGCGTCATAGGAACCTCTGATGGCCTCTTGGAGTCAACTTCGCACCGCTTGGGACGCTTCTTTCAGCCTCTTGGCGCTCTTTTTGGGGGGTTCGAGCAAGCCTCGGAAGCGTGTCGGAGGCGGAAATGTGAGAAAGCAAAAAATCATCATTGATTTTCCATTGTGTTTCAGCAGTGTTGGCCTCTCGAGGGCTTCCCCGGAGCTCTTGAGGGAATCTTGAAAGCCCCTTGAGCCGATCTTGATTGCTCTTGGGGGCTTCCAGAGCCGTCGGGGGACCGGGCTTGACAGCCTTGGAGCACTCTTGGGCTGTCTTGAGGGCGTCCTGGGCCGTCTGCTCTCATGGACGCCTGGGAGGGTGGTAGCGGCGATTTGCCGAAAATGCGAGCGGAGTGGGCAGAGCCCCAGGGGGGGGAGCGTATGTCTATTTCTCTCTATATGTATATATATATATATATATATTTGTGGTTATATATGTAGAGAGATATAAGAAGTAGGTATAGAACATCGATCAATCAATGAATCAATCACTATATATATATATATATATATGTGGGTGTGTGTGTACGGGTCCACGTATGCAAGAGGCGACAGCGTGCACAAGACAGAAGTAGCGGTTGAAAACCACAGGTCAGAACAACAGTCGGCTTAGTATATATGCAGGGTCCTCCCCTCTGCGCTTGTGTGCCAAATCAAACCAATCTGATTAACCTAAAGTACCACACGCACTGGGCCCAACCAATGTTGATACCCAATATTTAAGTAGGATGCGTGTGGTAGCGAAGGAGAGGATCCCCCCAAAGTACGAGGAGATGGGAAGATACATTGCCCAGCGTTGCGCAGCTTTCACACCGTAGGGTAAAGGCTTTTCTTCCACGAGGGGAGTGGGCTAGATCGCGACTGCATATCAGCCTCGCGCAGCCCGTTGACAACATGCCCCACCGAACCACGCGGCCCGAAAACGAATATATGTATGTAGGTGACACAACCAACGACATTTATATATACATATATATATACACATACATACAGATGTAGGGTATACCGATGTGTATATGTATATGGCGCGCGCTGCTTGGCGCAAGCTGTCGACTCGAATTCTTGCAATGCGGACGATGTAATATGATTTGGGTGCAAGCAGCGTTGTGCAAGGTTCGTGGTGCACTCTTTGTGGCAAACACCATGTCGTGCAAACGAAATCGCTTCTGAATTGCAAGCTGTGTAGCGCCGCGAATTATATGAGTCCAAATTACGAGATACAAACTATGTGGCGCAGGCGATGCTGCGTAAGGCCAGTCAGTGCACGGGGCGGCCACCAAACGACCACGGGCGGGCGGGCACTGGGGGAAAACCCGGAAAAACCAACCATCATACATGCTCTTTTCTCCAAGCGATCGACCCGCCCTTCCTGACAAAACGACTATGCGCGCGCACCCGTTTATCATACACCCGCAGTCGTCAAACATCGTTTGCGAACGATGCGGCGACGTCCACTCGCGCGCGTCGTAGCTCGCGCATGTTGCAATCCGTCAACCACCCCAAGTTTCGTAACGATTTCAAGATCGAGCTTCTCGAACACCTCCAAGTGAATATCTGGTTTCTGTTCGGCAGCTTTCTGTCCACCGGGTCAGCACGCGCGCTCTTGCTAATTCGTCTGACCAATCATTTTGTTTCCGACACTGTCTCCACACGTGACCTCGCGAGCTTCCCACGTGCGGATGCCGGAATTATCTGGACGTTCCTGCTCGCCTGTTTGGTTTGGGGGCGATCCTTTTCAAATCATACCGTGCGGGCCACTCACGCCCGTCGGCCGCGCACGCATGCCGAAATCGTTCCAAATGTTCATCAGCGACGCGTGGACATCATCATTGTCGTCGGCAAGACGAGCATCGGCGCCGTCATTGGCTTGGCCGTCGCCGTCGCCATCATCGCCTGCTTCATCGCTAAGATCATCATATTTTCCGCCGTTGTCGACGTCACCATGATACCGCGCCCGCCCGAGCCACCGACCCGCAGTGAAGTGCCCGCCCGCCAGTGCGGCCCGTGAGACGCGCTGAACAATCACCAACGGTCTGCGCCACCGCGGCAACTTCGGCTAAACCAAAATAGATGATGGCCCTGCGCGCGTGTTTGCGCGCGATTGCGCAGCGCAGCGATGCGCCAGCCAGCACCAAGCCGTCATCACAATCGCCGCCGCATGGGTTTTGCAAGCTCAGTTGAGGACGGCTGGGTGGGAGAACTGCCCGAACAGTGGGGTTGACAGCTTCAGGCTCTTCAACAGTAACTTCCGCACAAAGCGCTGAGACAACTGGATCTACCCCCCAGCCCCCGGGGTTATCCGCCATCCTACGGATCCAGGATGGACGTATGATGCTGCCCCATCCTGCCTCTCAAATGTGAGCGCATCCCACCACAGCCCAGCCGATATACCCCCCCCTTCTTCACTGTTCAAGTATAATCTTCGCGCGCACCCGTTTATCACAAACCACATGTGTTCGACAATCCCGTTCTAGCGCCGTCGCGCGAGCATGCCAAAATTCATCATTTGTTTGGGAAGCGTGGTATTGGTAAGGATTCCGACATCGGGGTGCACACTGCAATCTTTACATGAGTATGTCCCATCGCTCGGTTTACACATGACCTCATACCATCCCAACCAGAAATTATCGCCCCCCGCCCGTCCTTGTCAAGTCATACTACGCGCGCGCTCGTTGATCACGAAACACACGTGTCCAACAACCCATTGTTTCAACGCGCTGGGGAACGTCGGCGCGCGCGCACCGTCGCGCGCGCATGCAGCATTCAAGCCAAAACTTCAGGGGCCGTACGGATGGCGAAATCGAGCGCCCTGGAAACATCTAAAAACAATGGTGCCACAACACAAGGGGGTGGGGGGAGGGGGGGGGGCTTCTTAGAAGCAGGCTGCTTCTTAGAAGGCGCGGGCCTTACATCTATAGATAAGGCCCGCGCCTTCTAAGAAGCAGGGGTGCTTCTAAGAAACCCTCCCCCTACCCCCACCCCCCTCTGCGCGTGGCTGACCACTGGTGTCGCAACAGATGTGCTCAAACAAGGTCTGCGCGCGCTTTCGCGCAGCCGCACGACAACCTGTTCACCAAATGCGACCCAGCGGGCCTCCCGCGCGCGAGCGCCGCAATCATCCGAACGCCTCCGCAGGCATGCTTGTGGGGGCACCTCTCCTGTCACAAATGAAAGGGCCCCAGGACACACACACACACATAAATACACACAAATAAAAGGATTCTCCATATTTTCCCGTATTTTTGTTTTTTGTTTGGTTTTTGTTTTCCCCCCCACTTCCCATATTTTTACATATTTTCCTGGGAGTCGATGATTAATTGTGTCTGTGTGTTTCTTTCCCTCCTGAACATAGCGTCGTGCGGGCCACCCGCCCGCGCCAACCGCACGCGTATGTCGACATCCTCCAAAACCTCCACCACCGACGCGTAGAGACAGCCGTCGTCACCGGCGTGGCCACCATCGGGGCCATCACTGGCCTTGCCGGCGTCCTCGTCACCATCGCCGCCGGCATCGCTACGACCATCATCGTGTTAGCCGTTGTCGACGTCGCCATGCTACCGCGCCCGCCCGAATCACAAAATCGCACGGAAGAGCCCGCGCTTCAGCGCGGCCAACGAGCCTCGCTGGGAACCCCCCAGCGGACAACGCCACCCACGCCTGCGCCGGCCGCGCTGGCCGCGCAAAACTAGCTGGCCGCCCTGCGCGCGAGCCTGCGCGAGCCAGCGCGGCCGCAGCGGTGCGCCAGCCAGCGCCAAGCAGCTATCGCAATCGCCGCCGCATGGGTTTTGGTTTTGCAAATCAAAACGCGGGTGGGTGGGTGGGATGCTTGCGAGAGCAGTGGAATTGAAAACTTCAGATCTGCAAATTGATTAGCACCACCTTTATTGAACGATCTAGGAGCAAAACCAGGACTGCCCATCGTGGAATGCACGAGATAGATAGATTGCGCCACATATGCTGCACCGTCAAAAACATTCCACTAACATATCGCATCGTTTATACTGTTCCGCATACATTGCACCACAACTTTGGCACAACATACATTGCTATAACCACTCTGCCTTGGGCCCAGGACCGCTAATGCATGATATGTGTATAAACTGTTATGTATATATAAATATATAGCCACTCGAGGACACAATACCCCGATCAACCGTAAACCGTCAGGCAATGCTTACAGTCTCAGCATGTCCGATGACTTCCAGTACGCAGTCAATACGGACTATATATCTCGCCACCGCGCGTAGAACACCACACGTGCAAGCTGCACAGCCGAGCATCGCTTGCCTTGCGACGCTTCAGCTCCTCCTGGACCTTGTTGGCCTCTTCGCGCTTTTGCTGAAGCTCACTCTTCTTCTTGTCGATGAACTCCTGGGAAGCGGGCCAGGGCCGAGGAGGGGCTAGCAGCCGAAAGCAGCCCGCCGGCTACTAGCCATGCGCTGCCTGACGATCTCTGGCACACACTTGTGGCAAACTCTTGCCTCAACCGATCCTCCTCCGCCATGAAGGTCCGCGGTGACAGACCGTGCGACGACCTCGAACTCCCAAGGGACCTCACCGCACGACCCCTCGCCGCACACAGCACGGGTCTGGGACCTTCGAGGCCCCGACTGCCCGAGGCACCCCGCCCGAGTCCCAAAACCTTGGCAGCGCGCAGGGAGGGTGGTGGAGGAGGTAAGGCTTCTTAGAAGGAGGCCGCTCCTTACAAGGCGCGGGCCTTGCACCGAGTGACGAGGCACGCGCCTTCTAAGAAGCAGGGGTGCTTCTCAAAAGCCTGCCCCCTCACCCCCCTACCCCTCTCTTCGCGTGACGCTGGAAGCCTTGCGCCCGCCCGCCTGGCAAGGCGGCAGGGAGCGGCCATCAGAGGCGTGCTCTCCTCTCGGTCTGGGCCAGGGGCTGCGGCCCGCATGCCGGAGGGGCTCCTCCTGGCCCTTGAGGGCCCAGCTGCGACGACGACGGCTCCTGCTCACTACCTTCTCTGCAGGCTCCCAGACCCTCGGGTGAGGTCACCCCGAGCCCCTGCCGGCTCGCCGCACGGGCGTGGCCGCCGCACCGCGCAGGGGGGGCCCCGCCCCCCCCCCCTCGGCCTGGGGCCCCGGGGGCGGGCCGAGCCGAGGGCCGAGAGCGGAGCGCCCAGTGGGAGGGGGTCCCCGGAGGGTGCCTCGCGAAGAGGGTCGGGGGGGGACCGTCAGCTCCTGGCGCTCCTCCCTCTCGGGGTTCTGGTAACACGGGTGAATCCAAACCCCGGTCAGCAGGAAAATTATCCCGGCAAAGCAACCTAACAGCCATGTGTAGGAGCCGGCCGGGGCAGCCGGCCGCCCTCCCCTCCTGCTCGTCCTCCTCCTCCTCCTCCTGCTCGTCCTCGTGCTCCTCCTGCTCGTCCTCTTTCTCCTGCTCCTCCTCCTCCTCCTCCTCCTCCTCCTCCTCTTTCTCCTGCTCCTCCTCCTCCTCCTCCTCCTCCTCCTCTTCCTCTTGCTCGTCCTCGTTCTCGTCCTCCTCGTCTTGCTCGTCCTCCTCCTCCTGGTGCTCTCTCCTCCTCCTCCTCCTCCTCCTCCTCCTCCTCCTCCTCCTCCTCCTGGTGGTCCTCGTTCTCCTTCTCCTGGTGCTCTCCCCCCCCTCCTCCTCCTCGTCCTCCTCCTCCTCCTCCTCGTCCTCCTCCTCCTCTTCCTCCTCCTCCTCCTCCTCCTCCTCCTCCTCCTCCTCCTCCTGGTAGTCCTCCCCCTCCCCTCCTCCTCCCTCCTCCTCTTCCTGGTCGCCCTCGTTCTCGTCCTCCTCGTCTTGCTCGTCCTCCTCCTCCTGGTGTTCTCTCCTCCTCCTCCTCCTCCTCCTCCTCCTCCTCCTCCTCCTCCTCCTCCTCCTCCTCCTCCTGGTGGTCCTCGTTCTCCTCCTCCTGGTGCTCTCCCCCCCCCTCCTCCTCCTCATCCTCGTCCTCCTCCTCCTCCTCCTCCTCCTCCTCCTCCTCCTCCTCCTCCTCCTTCCTCCTCCTCCTCCTCCTCCTCCTCCTCCTGGTAGTCCTCTCCTCCTCCTGGTCGTCCTCCTCCTCCTGCTCGAAAATGTGGCCCAGGAATGGGAGTTCTGGGAAGTCGAAGAGCACGAAGTTGCCTACAGTTGGCTACGGGCATTCAAAATGTGGCCCGGGAATGGAGTTCTGGGAACTCGAAGAGCACGAAGTGGCCTACAGTTGGCTCCGGGCATTTGGGCCCGGGAATGGAGTTCTGGGAACTCGAAGAGCACGAAGTGGCCTACAGTTGGCTCCGTGGCCCGGGAATGGAGTTCTGGGAACTGGCCTGGCCTACAGTTGGCTCCGGGCAAAAATGTGGCCCGGGAATGGAGTTCTGGGAACTCGAAGACCACGAAGTGGCCTACAGTTGGCTCCGGGCATCCAAAATGTGGCCCGGGAATGGAGTTCTGGGAAGTCGAAGAGCACGAAGTGGCCTACAGTTGGCTCCGGGCATTCAAAATGTGGCCCGGGAATGGAGTTCTGGGAAGTCGAAGAGCACGAAGTGGCCTACAGTTGGCTCCGGGCATTCAAAATGTGGCCCGGGAATGGAGTTCTGGGAGTCGAAGAGCACGAAGTGTGTGACTGTTTGCTTAAAACGACTTCTGCGGCACCCTGTCCGGCACCCGCCCAGACCCCCCTGTGGAGTCATCTGCTGCTCTCTTTTGAGACCACTAGAAACCTATCAGTCTTCGCTGTTAGGTAAAAAAGCTGCAACGCAGGGCTTCGCAGACCCGGGTCAGCCAATAGGCGCGGCCGCCTCGCGGCCACGAGCGGCTCGCTAACCCGGGTCAGCCAGAGGGGGTCTTCGCAGGATCCTGCAGGATCTGGCGCCCTGGCTGACCCCCGTTTGCATTGACCCCCGTCTCAAGGCTCCCGAGCCCCGTCTCTGGCCCTGGCACCGGAGAGCTCGCGTCCAATCGGCCAATCGATCCTCCACCTCACGATGCTGACCTGCACGACCCTCTCCCTCCCTGTATCACTCACTCTGCCTCGCTTTCTCTATCCATCTCGATTTGTACACACACACACACCTATATATATATATATATATATGTATATATAGGTGTGTGTTTGCACTAAATGTCTCTCTCTCTCTCTCTATTCTAGTTTCCCTCTATCTCTCGCTCGGCCTGTCTACATCTCCATCAGCAGGATCTGCGCACGCACCATGGACAGCCCCTTTCTGACGAACCAACAACACACACACACACCTATACCCATAGGGGGGTCGGAGAGGGCTATGGGTTCGTGTTGTCGAATGGGGGTCCCCGCTCGAACAGGAGCGTTCCCAAGGGTCCGACAACCCGCACCCATACCCATAGCCAGTCCTCCTCCCAACGACCCCCCCTATGGGTATGGGTGTGTGTCGTTCGTTCTTGACTTTCCTCCCGGGAGACGGCAGAAGGACAAGAGGGGGCGGCTCAGGGCGTGCGCGCGCCGGTCGAGGAGAGGCAGAGGCCTTTCGGAGGGGGCTGGTGTGTGTGTGTCGGCGGAGGAGGAGGAGCAGGAGGAGGAGGAGGAGGAGGAGGAGGAAGAGGAGAAGGGAGGAGGAGGAGGAGGAGGAGGAGGAAAAGGAGGAGGAAGAGCAGGAGGAGAAGGTAGGGAGGAGGAGGAGGAGGAGGAGGAGGAGGAAGGAGGCGGAGGAGGAGGAGGAGGAGGAGGGGAGGAGGAGGAGGAGGAGGAGGGAGGAGGAGGAGGAGGAGAAGGAGGAGGAGGAGGAGGAGGAGGAGGCTTTTTTGAGTGTGCCGGGTGCTGCGTTGCATACGGAGCGGGGTCGAGCAGAAGGCTATTTCCAATCGGCGGTGGACGAGCCTCCCTTCAGTAAGCCACTTTGTAGCGACAACGGCCTAGGACCGAAACCGACGGACCTGGACCCGCAAAAAAAGGGGCTGCGACGCCCTCTCGCGAACCGAAAACGTCCAATTCACACTCATCGACGTGCCAGGGTAGGAGGATCAAACCCCGGAATTTCCCAAGTTCAGCATTGCCTTGGGTTGACGCACGTCCGGAGGACCCTCGAGTGGATCTGTTTTTCGCCCACGGCCCACGGCGGCAGGCGCTCTCCTGGGGCACGCCCACGGGGCTCTCCTGGGCCTGCAGCAGGTACTTCCACAGCTCGGAGCAGAAGGGCGCCGCCTGCCGAGCCGCGCGCGCGGGGCGGGCGGTGGGCGGGTGGCCGCTGGCGAGCTGCGGCTGCCGCCGAGCGCGCAGCGGCTCTTCCGAGGCGAGCACGGCGACAGCGCAACGAGAGTCAAGAAGAGATAGGCGGCGGCGAGCGAGGGGGGGCAGTGAGAGAAGGAGCAGGCCTGCTCAGAAGCGTCGGAAGTCCCCTGGCCTTCTGAGAAGGTTTCTGAGCCTTCCCCGAAGACAGCAACAACTAGAAACTGCTCCGAAGGCGCGAGGGCCTCTGAGAAGTCCCGCCGCCTTCTGAGAAGGCCTTCTCCTTCCCACTGCCCCCCCTCGCTCGCCGCCGAGTTCCTGTCGGGAGCTCTTGCTCGGCGTGTCGCAGCGGCGGCCCCGGCGGGGCGCCGTGCCCTGCGGGCGGGAAGCGTGCCGCTCCGCTCCGCGGGGCGGGAGGCCGGGAGAGGCTCGGGACGCCGACGCCCGGAGGCGGGGGAGCGGATGCGTGTCGCGCCGCAGCGCGGTGGGCCAGAGCCAGCGGAGCCACACGCTGAGCTAGAATGCCTCACCGTGTGCATCATCTCTGCGTCGGCGCACGCTCGCGCATCCTCCCCCCTCGCTTCGCCCTCCCTGCTCACTGCGCCGCCCCGAGGGCCCGATGAGGGGGCACGCTCCTCCTCTTCGTCGCCGCTGACTCCTGCCTCTTCTGAGGAGGCCCAGGGGGGTACACAAGTACATGCACACAAATCTCAGACCTCCCAATGCTTGTCCATACTTTCTGGATATTCGCTTCCCCCCCACTTCCCATACGTTCCAATGCTCCCCTGAGAATCGACGATTCTTTGTGCCTGTGTGTTGCTTCCCCTCCTGATCTGCGTCTAAGGACCCATTTCCTCGGTCGTCTGCCTGCAGAGAGCGGCGGTGCATGACCTGCACCGGCCAGCACCTGGCGCAAACGCTCCACACGGTGCCTCCGTGGGGCGCTCCTCTGGCCTCACTTTATCGGCGACCATGACGAGAACACGAGCGCCGAGGAGGGATCAAAAAACGAGGCGACGACGGGAAGAGGCACCTCCTCCCTCTACGCAGTCTACGCCCTCCCTCTGCCTCGCGCCCAACGCCCTCCGTGCTGCCAAAGCGTCTGACCATACTGCCTCGCGAAAATTCGACTCAGGAGGCAAAAGAACCCCTCGACCGTGGCGACCAGCCCTTACACGTATTGGCAGTCTGGGCTTAGACAACCGCGGCTAGACGACTCCCGCGGAGAAGACTTACCCTGCCGATGTCGTGTCGCACGCGTCTTCGCACCTGGAGCCTGGCTCTGGGACGGCCGACGAGCCAAGATATTTGAAGCCCGACGGCTTTCGAGGACCTCTGGACCTGGGAGGACAGAAAGCCATGAAAGCCAACTACTTGTTGAAAGGCTCTCGCCCTTGGGCGCACCATCGTCCAGCCCCAGGTTGCACCAGTCTTGAGCGGGAGCGCTTTAGATTCAGATTTCTGGCCGGCTCGCGGCAGACCAAAACGGGGCATGCTGACCCTCAATCGACGAATTCTCTCGTGTCGGCAATCCGCCACCATGCCGTCAATACGCTATGGAATACCCTTAGGCTTGCACAGTCGTCCGTGCCTGAGGGACTGTACGACATTTGAAGGCCCCGACCCCCCCGATGCCCGAAATTGTAGGACGCTCCCAGGCGCTCCTTGAGCGTGTCGCGTGAGCCTTTCGGACAATGCGACCGCCCAGTGTGAGGGAAGCGTGCCAAAATGCACATATGGCCCGCGGGGGGGAGTTTCCACGAGGCCCCACGAGACTCCAGAAGCCCCAGAAGAGCCTCCAAGAGAGGTTCCAAGATGCTCGAAGAGAGGCCCCAGACAAGGCCAACATGTCAAACACCGAAAATGTTTCCATGACGCTTACCTGTTAGGCCGATTGGCCCAACGTAGCTTACAGATGACTTCAGAGAGCTCCAAGCCTGCACATGTGGAACCGCTGAGACTGAGTTTCGTACTTTAGCTCGGCTAAGCATCGCTAGTTGCATTCGAATCACCATAATCGTCACCATCCCGATGACAGCCATCAACGCAACCTCATCGATGCAACACCATATTCTTCATCACCACTGTTACTATCAGCATCAGCATCAGCATCAGCATCAGCATCAGCACCACCATCATCATCATCATCACCATCCTCATCCTCATCATCATCATCATCATCATCATCATCATCATCATCATCATCATCATCATCATCATCATCATCATCATCATCATCCGCACCATCACCCTAATCACCATCACCACCACCACCAGTCTGAGCACAAACATTCTTACCAATCTCATCATCATCGCCCCCCCCACCACCAATAGACATGTCATGACCAAACGGCCTTGCAAGGATCATGTTGTGCATTGGCTACCAGCCACGGAAGAAGGGCGGCCCCTTCGACCCCCCTCCTCGGCGACTCAATCTCGGTGTTCCTTATCGAGACGTGGGCTCCATGTTCTGCCTCGGGTGCCGAAGACGCCGATAAGCACCTACACTCTAGGCGATGCTTAAGAAAACCCAAGTTTTCGGCCAGGGTCTCGATTGTGCTTAATGTTTCAGTGTCAATCCTAAGATTTGAATGGACATTCTGGGTTTTTATTCAAATTCTGAGACTCTGCAGTTCTTAACCAATGATTTCTAAAGCATTTCGCAGGGTGTAGCATCATCGGGGCAACGGGGCTCCGTGTCCGCGAATGGATCGACCCGCTGCCAACTTGCACTCGCACGCTCAGGCCCCGCCTCCTCCCGGACAGGGAGGCGGCCAGCAAGGGGCCGCCAGCGTCGTGGGGGTCTTCTGGAGGCCGCCCAAAGGGGGGCCCGAGGATCTCTCCGCATCGCTGCTGCCTCGGCAGCGTCGGGATGGAAGCAGGGGCTGACCCGAACATCGCTTGCGGACATGTGTTCCCGAGCCGTTGACGAACCGTTCGTTTGGACACGTGTTCCCGAATCGGTGACGAGCCGTCGGCGGCCGTAGACAAAGACCTTGGGGGCCTTACAGTTCGCGAGCAGAGGGCTCCGAGCCGTTGACGAACAGGTTGTGAGCATCCGAGCTCGAACATAATTTGTTTTCTTCCAAAAATAATGAGGGCACGCCTCCGATGGAAACAGGAGTCAGGCCAGAAGCCTGACCAGGGCCAAGGCGATGGCGCCTGGTCCTGGTCGCCACTGAGAACAGTCGGAACCAGCTGCGATCTTCTGCCTTGGTCTAGAACATTCGGATCCAGAGTATCTCCCCCATATGCGTCTGCGCGGGTTGTGGGTAGACGGTGAAGCGTCAAACCCAAATTCGCCTTCGAGGTGGACCCAAAGGGGAGGAGGACTAGTCGCGCCATCCCGCCTCCTTGCTCGTAAGAAGCCCCCAAGGCGGCTCCCGAGGCCCATGAGGCGCCCGAGAGGCCCCCCCACCCCCCCAAAGGCGCCACATCCCAATCGTAAGAAGCCCCGGTATCGCACGACTACGACACGGAGACAGCTGAGGAAGCTCACAGAAGAACTCTGGACACCACGGGCACGCCCCCCGAGAGGCACCCGAGGGAGTGCCGAACGGCACCCGGGAAGGGCACAGACGCAGGAGAGCTCCAAACAATACACCACCACCAGCCCTGGTCAGGCCCATCCTGTGTCCTGGACCGGTGTGAAGGCGCTCCTGGCCTGGGCCTGGAGGTCGATACGCCAGTCCACGGCCCAGAACGGACCTGGCCAGGGCTGGTGCTGGTGTGTCGATGGCGTCCCTCCGACCGACGCAGCCTTGCGCTCCATGAAGCCCGTCAGGTTGACCTGCAGCGACTTCGGGTCGACGCCTCCCCCCCCCGCAGAGCCGCGCCCAAAGCGCGCGGGCGTGCGCCCGCGGGGAGCCCCCCCCGCAGAGCCGCGCCCAAAGCGCGCGGGCGTGCGCCCGCGGGGAGGGGAGGCCGACTACGGCGACGACGACGACGACGACGACGACGACGACGACGACGACGGCGGCGACGACGACGACGACGACGACGACGACGACGACGACGACGACGGCGAGGGCAACAACGGCGACCACAGCGGCGAGGGTGGCCGCCGTCCTGGGCGGGGAGCGGGGAGTACGGGCCGCCTTGGCGCTTTTTGGAGTGTTCTGGAGGCCTTCCTCTATGATGTATTGGATGCCGCTTCGGCACGTTCCAGCCAAGCGTGAGCCAGCTGAAATATGCTTTGGGTTTCCTGGCAGGCCACGGAGGGGACCCCCCAGGGATTCTGGGAGGTTCTGGGGGTGCGCTGACGAGCTCGTACCCCCCACGCCCCCCCCCCCCCCGGCGAGGGGCCGCGGTGAGCAGCGGGCCGCCCACGCCCTGAGGGGGAGGGGGGGGGGTCGGGGCGGGCGGCGGCGGCGGGAGCGGCAGGACGGGCGGCGCGCGCAGGGGGGGGGCACCTCCTCCTCCTCCGCCTCCTCCTCCTCCTCCTCCTCCGCCTCCTCCTCCTCCTCCTCCTCCTCCGCGCCCTCCTCGGGGGGGAGGGGGGAAGGCCCCTCAGCAGGAGGGCTGCTCCGCGGAAGGCGCGGGCCTACACATTCCCCGGGCAGGGCCAGCGCCCTCTCGGGAGCAGGGGTGTTCCTCAGGAGCCTTGCCCCCGTCATCCTACCCCTCTCTGCGCGCGTGGCCGGCAGAAGGGGATGATCATGAGGAGGAGGAGTAGGAGGAGGAGGAGGAAGAGGAGGAGGATACTGAAGATGCTGCTGCTGCTGCTGATGATGATAATGATGATGATGATGATGATGATGATGCTGATGATGATACTGGCGATGCTGATGGTGATGATGAGGTTGTTGATGATGGCGATGCTGATGATGATTGTGATGCTGATGGTGACGATGATGATGGTGGCGATGATGATGCTGCTGATGATGATGTTTATGATGATGAAGCTGGTAACGATGCTGCAGATGCTGATGATGATGATGATGATGCTGCTGCTGCTGCTGCTGATGATGATGATGATGATGATGCGACGGGCGGCTCAGTACCACATTAGAGGCCTCCTGCATGGGCGATGCATCGGCGACGTCGGCGATGCGTCGGCGTGGAGAAAATCGGGCTCCGCATCGAGCCGCATCGTCGATGCATCGGCGATGCGTGGCGATCCTCCGACCCCATCTACTCCGACCCCACCTAGGAGGCCTAACCCCAAACAGCCGACAATAAACACCCTGGGATAATAAAGTTCGGCGGTTACGGTGCGATAATAAAAGTACCCACCAGAGGCCAGCATAAAGATGTTAACAGAGGAGCCAAAGCCGAGGATATCTTGAGACTTCCTTGGCTTTTTCTCCTCCCTGAGACATCCTCAACAATGGCTTGTCTCGCTTGAGACGTCCTCGACAAATCTCTCGTTTCACTTGAGACTCGAGGGATGAAGAGAAATAGGAGAAGGATGAAAGAAAAACCCAAAGTTCAAAATTTATTATATTTAATGTGGAAACGCTTCAAACTAAGATTTTCATCTGCTCGTACCTCATCTGTCTAGTGTTCCCAGGAAAACCAACCACAGCGATAAACAAGTTCAGGGCGCTAGGTGGGGAGAAGAAAGACACATAGAAAGAGAGAGAGAGAGATAGACAGAGAAGAGGAGGAAGGAAAGGATGATGAGGAGAAGGAAGAGCAGGAGAAGCAGAGGAGGATAATAAAGATAGAGAGATACATAGAAATATAGAAAGAGAAGAGGAGATAGAGGAGGAAGAGGAGGAGGAGGAGGAGGAAGAGGAGAAACAGCAAGAGGAGGAGCGGAGAAGGAGATAGAAAAAATCCAAAGTTCAAACTTATTAGATTTAATGTGTAAACGCCTACTGGAAATTAAAAGTTTCATCTGCTCGTGCAGGGTAGCTCATCTGCCTCGGTTTCATTGGATAATAAATTACAGCGATAATTGAAGAAGGAAATAACCTCGATGGCGAACTTTTCAGGTGATAATGAAGTTCGGCCTCCGCGCCCCCGCGCCCCCGACCAAACTCTTATTGGCCGTGGATAATGAACTCTTATGTGTATAGGGGGGTACATTTATTATCGTGGGTATGGGGTTAGACGCACGCGAAGCCTGGCCTTGGGGGTCGAATGCTACCCCAACTGTGTCGCGTTCCTCATGGTGCCGCCCACTGCCCCTAAGCACAAGCAAGTTGTATGGTGAGGAAGTGAGAAGTGGGGAGATGGAGGAGGGGTGGAAGCAACCGGGGTGGCGCAGATTTTGAGCTGAAGGGCCGGCCAGATGCAGGAGGCCAGGGGGACTGGAGCGCGGCCTGTGCCGCCACCCAGCGAAGAGGCCAGCGCCTCCTGACGCACGCGCAGCAAGTGCTGCCAGGGTAGCTCAGCAGTCAGCCTTCTGGAGCGCACCGCGCTGAAACAGGACCGTGGGTCGGGTCAGGGCTCGGCGGTTGCCAGAGGTGCCCTTGGCCCAAGGTGCCCCCCAGCTTTCCGCCCGATTTTGGAGCACCTGGGGCCCTCCAGGCCTCGTGAGGGGTTTGGGAGTACCTGGGGCCCTCAGGGCCTCGTGAGGGGTGCTCTGGAGGCCGTGGGGGCCTCCTTGAAGATCCTGGGGGGCACCCTGGGCCAGGGGCAGCTCTGGCAACGCTCGAAGGGGTGGGGGGGGGAAACGCCGGGGGCGGAGGGGTGGCGGGGGGCGCCGGCGGAGAGGCCGCTGCGGAGGGAGCCCCCTCGGCGCTGCTCCTCGCGGAGGCGGCGCTGCCCGGGCCGAGGTGCCGCGCGGGTGCGGCAGGCGGAGGGCGGAGCAGCGGGGCAGACGCCAGTCGTGCCGCTCCCTCTGCCGAGGGGGGGGGGCGGGGGAGAGGGAGGCGTCGAGTCTCTGGGGTTCTACACGTGCCTCAAGCGCGCGCGCGGAGGGGCGCAGGGTCCAGGCAGCGGAGAAAGGTAGCACCCGACGGCGACGGCGAAGACGAACGACGACGGCGAGGATGACGAGGACGACGAGACCACCGACGACGAGGACGACGACGACGACGACGACAGACGACTGAACGCAGCGACGCGAGCGAAAACGGCGGCAACGACGGCGGCAGCCTGGAGGGAGGCGCGGAAGGGCGGGGGGGGCGGGGGGAGAGAGGGCGGCGAAGGGCGAGATGGAGAGCTGATGAAAGGGGTCTGATCTGGCGGAACCTTCGCGGGGAAAGGCCCCGCTCAAGAGGGAGGAGGAGGCAGCCCCCCTTCAGGGGGCCTTTGTCTCCAGCTTCCTTCTTCTCCTCCAGCTGTGCCAGGCATAAGCCGACCACGATGTCGTCCTCAAACCCGAGGAGGTCGGTAATCTTCTGGGTGATCCACGGCCTGCTCAGTTGGCCATGGAGGTGCTGCTACCCATTATCCTTCTGATGTTGTGCCGACTCGTCAACCTTCTCGTCCTTGACTCCAGCCCTCATGGCGCAATACATTTTGGTATATTTGTCTAACCGTCCTTTGGCGTGGGTCCCCGTTTTGAATGAGCAGCGCCCCGCGTCCTCACTCTTCCCTTCCTCCGCTCCCTCCTCCATCTGGTCTCCGCATGCCCACTTCGACATACCCCTCACATGCTTCGTGGCCCCACGGAGAGCTCCACAGAAGGCCCAAATGGCAAAGTCCGCATGCCACCACCGCACCACATCGGGCACACCCCTCACACGTTTCGTGGCCCTATAGGGAGCTCAACAGAAAGCTCAGATGGCAAAGCCCGCATGTCCCAACAATTTCGGCACACACCTCGTTTCGTGGCCAAAGAAGTCCACCAAAGGCCCATGTGGAAAGATCCGCGTGACACCACCGTAACTATCTAAGCACACACCTCACTCGTTTCGTGGCCCTATGAGTTACGCCAGACGCCAAAGAGGCAAAGCCCGCATGCCACCACTGATGTCGGCACACCATTCACACGCCTCGTGGCTCCATCGGGCACTCCACAGCAGACTCCTGTGCGAGGGTCCGCATACCGCCACCGCGCCCATGTCGGCACATCCCTTACACGTTCCATGGCCCCCACTGCGAGCTCCACCGAAGGCTCCTCTGGGAGGGTCAGCATGCCACCACCGCGTCAATTCGGCACACCCCTGACACGTTTCAGGGCCCCACTGCGAGCTCCAACATACGCTCCTGTTGGAGGGCCCGCATGTCACCACCGCACCCACGACGGCACATCTCACAGGCTTCGTGGCGCCGTACTTCCAGAGTTCCACCGAAGGCCTCTGTGGGAGGCTCCGCAAGTCACCGCCGCGCCCATGCCCGGCACACCCCTCACACGTTTCGAGGCCCCCCAGCGAGAGCTCCACCGAGGGCCCTGGTGGCACGACCCGCGTGCCGCCACCGCGCCCATGTCGGCACACCTCTCGCGCGCTCCGAGGCTCTCCAGGGAGGTCCACCGAGGGCCCCAGTGATGTGGGCCACATGCGCCCCCCCCCCCCCCCCATTGACCACCTACCAGACCACCCCAACCCAACCCGAGGACCCGAATTTCGGGTTTGGGGGGGGGGGGTATGGGCTCCATGTGTTTTTTTTCGATGTTCCCCGACCACCCCCCACTGGAAATGGAGGGCAAATTGAGGCCTTCGGGTTGGGTTGGGGTGGTTTGGTGGGTGGTGACCATTCCAGTTCACCCCTCACGCGCTCCGTGGCCCCATGAGAAGCTCCACCGAAGGCCCCCGTGGGAAGGCTCGCGACCAGCCGCCCCGCCCCGTTCGGCACGCCCCTCACGCGCCTCGCGGCCCTCCTCCGCGCGGGGCCAGGCAGCCTTTCGGCCCTCTTCTCCGTCCCTCTCGCGGCGCGGCACTCTCGGGAAGAGGAGGGTCACGGTGAACGTTTCTGTTTTCAGCGTTTCGACATTGGGCGGATAGGGGGGGCGGAGGGGTGGGGATCTGACTCTGGACCTCTGCTTAGTGCGACTGTGTGCAACCGTGCGACTATGGGGGAGACTCCACCTGCTCGAAACAAGCGCCCAAAACAGCCAAGATCTACTCCATTTGAGCAGGGGCCGACAGTCCCGGCATGCCTATAGTCCTACCACGAATTGTTCTTTGAACCTAAAAACGTTCTGAGAACAAAAGCAATGTTCTTAGAACATAATCCCGATGCGATAGAACAAGACAGTCCCAGCCAGAAGTGTTCTAAGAATATTTCGTGGGAACGCCAAAAGGTTCTTAGAACATTGCTTGGTAGGGCTGTAGGCGAGCCAGGATGCTTCGCCACTCCTTGATCCATGGGGGGAAGAGGGGGGGGAGGGCCCGCGCCCCTCGGCACAACAGTGCGTAAGCAAACGATCACAGATCCACACATCCTGCCTGCACTCGGAGCCGCATGTGGTGAGGGGGGCCTTCGCCGGGCAAGAATGTTCCCGAGCCCCCGTCGCCCCTGCCTGAGGAGGCGCTCCTCCCCCCGCCCGACATCCCCGGGGGGGAGGAGCAAGGTTTCGCATGCTGTCATTCCCCCATTCCCCCTTCTCCCCGGAATAATCTGCTTTCCAGGTCCAGGTTGTACCATACCAGAAGGGCTTCCCCCGACGGCCTTGTCCCAAGTGTATGAAAGTCGCGCAGGATGTTTCCTGGAAGCTTCTGAGGGGCTTCGCAGAAGGAGGGCGGATGAAGAAGGGGAGAGGGAAGAGTGATGGAGGGATGCAGCAGCATTGGACAATTTGCCCAGCGGCTGCACTGTCAGAAGTTCCAAATGTGTGACACCCTTTGATGAGTCGTCGAGCATATTCAATCGGAAATGTGCATAATGATAAATCGATTGCAAGAAAACCTGGGCCAGCTTCGCGGACATTACTTCAAACAAACCTGGGCCAACCGTGCTGATGAATGCTGCCGGGACGAACGTGCTTGAGAAACTGGGCCAGCTTTCCGGCAAGTTGGTTAAGAAACGCTGGCCCAGCTTCTCGAGAGGCTTCTTAAGCACATGCTCCACTGTAGCCCACTGGCCCCTCGTCTGGCGGAAGGCCCACGGAAGGCGGGGGAAAATAAAGAAAAGACGGCTTCGTCGGCGGAAGCGGTCGGCAGGAAAGTTTGGACACCCACGAAGGGTGAACGTTCAAGGCGCCCTGGCGTCTAGGAGTCGGCCATGCGTGGGCGTCCATTGTCGTCCGGTGCGGGCCTGCGAGGGGGGGGGGGGGCGGGCGGGGGCACCCCTACAAGCACTTCAAAGACCCCGGACCCATGAGCACCCCCCAAACTGCCAACCAGGGCCGTGGAGCCCCCCCCCCACCAAGGTGGCTCCAATCTGCTCCGTCATAGCCCAGGACGGCCTTCATCATGATCCCAGATGGCAAGGGAAATGCCACGACGGCCTCTACGGTAGCACGCGGCGTGAACCCGAGAGGCTTCAAGCGTCAAGCGACGTTGGCTCCTGACAGCCTTCAGTGCTGCATCTCTTCTGCTGCCCAAATGTGCGTCCACATGACTCCACAACGCCCCAAGATGGTCCAATCCATCTTCAATTGTCATCCAAGGTGGGCCCAAACACAGTTCCAAGACGGCCCTAGGCCCTAGGCCGCTCCCAGACGGCCTCCAGACGCCCCCTGCAATACCCTCAGCTTCTCCAAAGCTACCACGGACCAGTCCAGTGGACGCCGAGAAGGCTCAAGCATGCCCAAGTGAGGCCAATAATGCCCGCCTAAGAAAGTTCCCCTCTCCTTATCCACCTCCTCCTTCCCCATCCTCCTCCTCCTCCTCCTCCTCCTCCTCCTCCTCCTCCTCCTCCTCCTCCTCCTGCTCATCCCCTTCCGTCCCACCCTCCTCCTGCTGATTCCTGAATCCTGATGCCTGGAAAGAATCTTATTCGTAGCCCTCCCACCCAGGGCCGGTTGGACGAGGGGTGGGGGAGCAAACTAGGACCAGGTGACCCCTGGATCACAGCTCCAGGGTTCACCGGCAGTGTTGTAGAAGTAAAATAAGAACTGACAGATAGGGAGGGGGAAAGAGAGGGAGGAAATAAAACCTACGCGACCACCCTTCGGGTGATAGGAGGTTTGGGGAGGGTGAAAGAACCAACTGCTGACAAATGCGATGGGTGTGATGATGACGAGGCTGGTAACGCGCCTTCGAGTTAGCGACGTGTGATGACGATGTTGCGCTGCGATGTAATGTCACGATCGTCCCCACTTTCGATCTCACTCGATCGACCCCACTGCCGACCTGAAATAACCGATCACACTCGATCGATCTCACTCTGGATCTCACTATATATATACGTATATATATATATATATATATATATATATGTATCGCTTTCGATCTCATTATCGGCATCACTATCGACCCCACTATCGGCCCCCTGCCGATCTCACAATAAATCTCACTATCGATCTCACAACCAATGTCACAATCAACCCCGCTGTCGGTCTCACGTTTGATCTCGCTATCCATCCACTCTAGCCATCTCATTCTCGATCTCACTATCGACTTCACAATCTATACCAAGGCCGGACACCCCTGGCCACCGCCCACCCACCGCCGACAGAACACCGACGGGACACGAACGAGACACCAACGGGACACCGTAGGACACTACGGCGGAACACCCCGGGCCACCGCGCGCCCACCGAGGGCCGAGGGGCGGTCCACTGTATCCGAATCGCCCTAGCAGCAGCGGGGTCATTTATCTCAGCGCCCACGCAGCTTCACCTCGCCCGCACGCGCGACACGAACACAAAACCGAAACCGATGTCCCGATGGGGGCTCTCCGTTCCACTGCGATTTCACCCTCCAACCTCCGACCATGATGACAACTTCGATTACTCAAGAAGAGGAGGACCACGAGGACCCCAGTGCGCCCTCAAGGGGCCTCCAGCAGGACACCCAGAAGGCCTCCAGAACGGAGGGCCCAACACTGGCTCCAGGACGGTCTGACGGAGACCCGCGAAGCAGAGAGAACGGCTCTGCGACCCAAGCTCCTCCAGCCCCGCTCGCACTTTGCCTGCCCCCACTCGTGGCGCTGCTGTGGCGGAGAGCGCCGGGTGCATGGCAGAAGAAGACGAGGGAGCTGGAGATGGTACTTTGCAGACGGCAGCGGCATTCATTTGGCAATCCAGGGCGAATATGCTGGCGCCCCAAAAAAGCGCCGATGCACTCGCCAAGGTGTGTGAATGTGGCGGGCTCCGGATGCATGGTGAGCGTGACAAGCTGACGGGCCCTAAAGGAAGAAATAACTGGCCAAGGCAGCCAGAAAAGTGACGAAGCTAATATTATAGGGCGTGCTTGCAGCGCTCCACGTGCACTGCATTCGCTCGGAGACGACAGGGCCAACGTTCGTCACGATCTCGTCTGCAGCCTCCTGAAGACCAGCAGTCTGAGTGGTTGCCAAGGACATGAAGTCTTTGACAGTGTCGATGGTCGCCGTTTTCAGTGGGTAGATCCTGCTCATGTGGGGCAGCATCAGCTCAGAAATCTGCCAGACGTTGTGCAGAGCGGAGTGCAGCGAGTTGAGCTTGGTATTATAATTGCTAATGTTGGCCATGAGGTCAGATATCTGCGAGCAAGCCTCGGCCAACGTCGAGCTCGCAAGAGAGCTCGCGTTCACGCGCAGCGGGAGTGCCTGCGACCGCAGCTGCTTTACGATGGGAAGGAAGCTCTGCCGCAGTTCCCTAGGCATCACGACGTTGAGGTCCCTGGCAACCTTCTCCCCATCTGACTGCATTGCCTTGACGCGGAAGGATGCCTCGTGGAAGAAGCGCGCCATGAGGAACGAGAGCTCAACGTCTGACGCCTTGCTGCTCGCCAGCACGAACTTTGCCGTCTTGCGCCGAGTGATGTTGAGGAAATCCTGGATGGACCCCGCGATCTGATCCTTCGCCTTCCCCAGGCGCTTCATGAAGATCGGGTTCTCCACCGCGTTGGGCAAGGACATGAGAACGTCGACCATGATCCCCAACGAGACGGGACCCAGGTAGCCCTCCATCTCCTCGTGACCCTTCGCGCCCATGAGGGCCTGCGCCTTCTTGACCATCGCCTCCTTGGCGGCCCGCTTCGCCTCCAGGATCGCGAGGCGTTCCTTGTCCTTGGCCGCCTTGCGGTCGGCCGCGCTCTTGCGGCGCTTGTCGGCCTCCTGGCGGAGGGCCTTCATGGCATCGGTCGCCGCCTTCCTCGCCACGTCCATGTCGTGCTGCTTCTCCTTGAAATAGGCCAGCGCCATCTTGAGATGCTGCGTCTTAGACTTGAAGTCTGCCTCCAGTACTGGAATCATCTCGTCCAAGGCCGAAGTCAAGTTCTCCGTTTTCCTCCGGCGAGCCCGCTCCGAGTTCTGCCTCTTGCTGGGCTTGCCCTCCAGGCTCGTCCCGAAGTTCAGGTCCTCCAGGTGGCCCAACAGCTGGTCCTGGTCGATCTCGACCGCTTCCTCGAGCTCGTCCCCGAGTCCAAAATCCCTCGTCACAGCGTTGCCAGCGACGGCGAGGCAAACGAACACCACCTTAGACATCATCGCCATCTGGAGGCGCGTCTATGGAAGCACGGTGCGGTGACAGATATATACAGCCTGGCAGGCGCTAGGCTGGGCGGAGTAGCTATTGTCCAGGACACCTTGCGCCAAAATAGCTTGAGCCACAACGGCTGCGGATTTCTCCTGCTGCTCGTCCTCCTCGGCGCCCTTATCCTCATCCTCCTTCTTACTTTGATTCTCGCGTGGGGCTAGCGGCATGGCGCAAGCCTCTCGAGTGAGATGAACGATGGTGCAATCGAGAAACAAAGCAACAATCATCAGAGTGAGGGGCCGAACGGTCATTCACTGTCCCTGGGTGCGTGGCTGAAATGGACGTCCGAGGTACGGATTGTTGTTGCTGCTGCTGTGGTTGTTATTGTTGTTTGTTGTCGTCGTCCCGCCCGCGACCCGGCCCGCGACGCACCCGCGACCTTCCCGCGAACCAATGGCGAACCACCCGCGACCCACCCGCGACCCACCCCGCGACCCACCATGCGACCCGCCCGCGATCCAGCCGTGAGCCACCCCGCGACCCGCCCGCGACCCACCCCGCGACCCACCCTGCGACCCGCCCGCGATCCACCCGTGAGCCACCCCGCGACCCGCCCCGCGACCCGCTCCCGCGACCCGCCCGCTACCTGCCCGCGACCTCCCCGCGGACCTTCCCGCGACCCACGGGCGACCCACCCGCGACCCACCCCGCGACCCACCCGCCACACACTCGCGACCCACCCCGCGACCCACCCGCGACTCTCCCGCGACCCACCCTCGACCCACCCCGCGCCCGCCCCCTCACTCTTCTCCGCAACTGCGGGGTGCTACACAATCCTTCGGAGGTCCGCGAGGATTTCCTGGACCGGCGCTGGAGTCCCTCCCAGCACGCGCCAGGGGCGGCGCGGGAGGCGCCGCCTGCCAGGGGTACAGTGCCGATCCAAGAAATCCGCGCGGAGCTCCGAAAGTTCATGTGTATGTCCCTTTGCCCTCTTCGGTGTAAGGCATGCTCGGTGTGCGAGGATCCGGCCGACAACTGATAACTAGGACACCCGCTCGCGCAACGTCGACTGACCGCCCCCGCAGGCCCGAGAAGCACGCGAACGCCGCAGAGCGCGCCCTGGTGCCCGCACAACACACAGGCCGCACAGTGCCTCCCCGGCGGGGCCGGATTCTCGGCGCTTCGGGGACGCGTGGCCCCGAGACACAGGGCCTCTGGGGCAGGGTCAGTCAGCATCGAACTGGAAAATCATATCGAATCGGAACATGTGGGTCTGACCGGGCTGAGCTGGCACGGATACCCAATCGAACCGGATCGGCTGCGCCAGGCTGCACAGCTGCGTCATGCAAGCATCGGGCCACGTCGGATCGTCGGAGCATCGGAGCCGAATCGGATCGGGCTGGCCCGATTCGACATCGAATGGGCTCAGTCGGATCGAGCCCTTGAACTCGAAGAAGAAACAGCGGCACAAGCATAAGCATCCAGGGGACCTCATCTCTCAGGGCCCCTCTTCGAGCCCTCGAGGTTTCAAGGCCAAGCCCCCGCCGCTGGCTCCTCGCGGCGCCCCGGGCGCGGGCAGTGCTCGAGCAGGCGCGGGCCTCCTCGGGCACGCGGCGGAGGGGCGCGGCTGGCACTGCCATGCGATCGAGGCCCGGCGGCTGCTTCGCCACACGGTGTACCTCTGGACCCGAGCATGCAGACGGATCGCGTCACCGTCTGCTTTAATTTGCCGGGCGATCCCTCTTCTGCTCAGGCCCTCGCCAACGTCGGGCGTTGACCTCCCGCTCCTCCCAGCCACCCCCGCGCCCTGCGCCCCTCCCCGGAGAAGACTGGCCTCAGCTGCGGGCCTCCCATTTCTCGGACGGCCGCCGCAGCGGATAGCCAGACTTGACGAATAGTCCCCAGCGCGATCTGCTCAATCCTCCACCTCCTCCTCCTCCTCCTCCTCCTCCTCCTCCCCCTCCTCCTCCTCCTCCTCCTCCTCCTCCTCCTCCTCCTCCTCCTCCTCCTGCGTCTCCTCCTCCTCCTCCTCCCCCACCTCCTCCTCCTCCTCCTCCGTAGCCATTTTGGCTCAAGACCCATGCTTTGGCGGGCTGAGCCCGCATTGGCAAAAACGGATACCGCTAGTCCGCGGCAGTTATCAACCTTTCAGGAGGTCCCTCAGTCGAGGGGTTCGCGAGCCTCCATCATCCCTTTCCTCTTTCTCGCGCCATGGCTCCTGCAGGCTCTGACGAGTGGGAGCGCCGACCGTGGGTTCAGGCCTCCAGGCCCCGTCGCTGGGGGGGCACCATACCTGAGGGCGGGGCTTCATCGGCTGCCAAGTGGGAGTCCTGGGACGGCCAGCGAGCCAAGCACGAGGAAGTATGGAAGACGGTGGCGGGTCCCAAAGGTGAAATTCTATGCCACCACTGCGGTTGCCGTAAGAACTCTAAAGGATCGATGTGCTGCAAGCATTGTGGCCAGAAGCTCGGTACACGACCCCAACCTCTGGAAGACTCTGGTGGCCCCAAGTCGTCGGATGAGTCGGGGAAGGGAGCGAGCAAGGGGAAGAAAGGATACAAAGTCGGCAAGGGTGATCCTCTCGGTGGCAAAGGCGCTGGCAACCTCTCCTCTGCTCTCCCTCCTGGACCCGTTCCCGAGATTCCTCAGGCCAAGGCCCTCGAACTACAGCGTTTGGCTCGGGAAGCTGGGGACGCTGCGGGGGCCGCGCGATATGGAGCACTGGCGCAGAGGGCGGCTCCACCCCCGAAGCCGTCGGGGAGGCAGCGGCTCGTGGCTGCTGAGCAGAAGCAGGAGAAGCTGGAGAAGCGCCTCAAGGTCGAGTTCGAGAAGCTGCAGCGCTGGCGTCGAGCTACTGACGAGCTGGCGGCCACGGTGGGGACCCTGGCTGACGAGCTGCAGGCCGCCGATGGCGAGGTGGCAGCCGCCTTGGTGGAGCTCCAGAGCCAGCACAAAGGACCACCAGCGACGGAGTCCAGAGGCCCCGCGAGCATCAGCCTGCGCAAGCTCATCGACGGGGAGATGGAGCTGGCTAGCCTTATTTCTTGCGACGATTTCATTGACGTGGAGGCGGTCAAGGGCAGCTACGAGGTGTCCGAGGATGACCTTCGCGAACTCGAGGAGCGCAAGAACGACGTGGCGAAGCAGCTGCAAGAGGTACTTGGTTCGGTGTTTCGGCAAGCGCTGGAGAAGGCCAACTCAGCCCAGGACCAGCACAAGGAGCATCTCAAGCGCCTCCAATCGAAGCGTCGACGCACGGCTGATGATGGGGAACAAGCATCGGACACAGGTGGGATCGAGTCTGGAACAGGGACTTCGGCGAGCCCAGGGAGCGCGACAGCAGGCTCACCTACCGAGGCGTCGGTGGAGGAGGTGGGCAAGGCGGCCACACAGGTGGACATTCGCTCTCTGGTCGCTGCTGACGGTGGAGTGCAAGCGGCTAAACGGGCGGGGCTTTAGCCACAGCGGGTGCTCGACACAGGTAGGGGCGTCGTGGCCGTGTTCGGCGACTCCTCTTTCCTGGTCATCGGGGGGCGCGGTGCGAGTGGGGACTGCCCGGCGGTGCGCCGTTAGTGACCCTCGCACCGTTGCTCCCCGGCCCCGCGAACGGCGCGGAGAGTTCAACTCTGCCTCTGGCTGGATGGAACAAAAATCGTCGAGGTTGTCTTCGTCGGTTGCGTGTCCATCGTCGGTGTCGCATACTCCCTGCGCTGCTGTGTCGCCGTCGGCTCCGGTGTCGGCAACTCCCTGGTCAGCGGTGGCGTCGTCGACTTCACGGGTGGCGACAACGAGCTTTGTCGGATCGGAGACCAGGTGCGCCTCGAGCCTGGTCTCCTCAGAGTTAAATTGCGAGGAGATGGGGCAACGGAGTTCGGTGATTGGTCAGTGCGCCGAGTACGTGTCAGCCATTCAGAACGCAGCCGTCAAGCCCACCCACAGCTTGGCGGCCTTCTCGTCCAAACCTTTGGCTGCACGCAGTGAAGGAATTTCAGCGTCAGAACGCGACAGCCAGGTGCTCCTCGAACCTGGCTGTCTCAGAGTAGATTGCGAGAGCCCTTCGTGGGATTCGGGTGTTAGAACGCCAAATCCTGGGGGCAACCGATTTTCGGCTGTAGTGCCCTCCCAGGTTCAGTCGCCAAGTGCTGGGTCTCGTGCCAAGGGAGTCAGTGTGGAGCAACCTCAAGGAGAAGCTATGGCAGCGCTGCAGCCGAAGCAGGTCATCTCACTGATGGAGGGGCTCCCTCCTGAGGACCGCGGGGCCCAAGGTACGTTCAGAGTGGGCACTCTGAATGCGAACACGTGGCCAAGGGCTCGGAACACTATGCCTTGGATTGAGATGCATTGCCAGTTGCCGCAGGTGTTGTGCATTCAGGAGACCGTACTGGACCAGTCGGGGGAAGCAGGGGCCCATCAATGGACCCGTACTTGCTCTCGGAAGCTGGCGCTGGGTTCGGCAAAGCGCACAGGAGAATCGGCCAGATCTCTCTCAGCTGGAGTGGGCTTGTCGGCGGCCATGAGCATTGGGGTGTCCAAGCTCCAGGTGCCTGAGAGGTGGCAGCATCGGGTGGTGATGAGGCTAATGACGGTAGGCGCTCACTCGTGGATCATCATCGGCTCGGTCTATGGCGTCGACTCGATCGGCCCCAAGGGCGAGAACCTGGAGCTACTGGAGTTCCTCAGCACTTTCCTGGGGGCGCAGCGTTTCCCGTTCCTGCTGGGAGGCGACTGGAACCTTGAACCTGAGGAGATCATGGAGCTGGGCTGGCTGGACCTGGTAGCCGCCACCATCTTCGCACCTGGCTGCCCAACCTGCAATGGCAAAGAGTACGACTACTTCATTGGCTCCCAGGCTCTGGACGCCTTCCCCATGTCGGTGAAGGCCAGGGTGGACACGCCGATCTCGCCACACTGCTACGTGGAGATCAAGCTGGAGGGCTTCAGTGACGAGCCCTTTGTCTGGGTGGAGGCGCCCCCGCGAGCCTTTCCGCTGGCCGACCAGGAGGCCAAGAGGAGGGTCAGGAAGAAGGCCAGGGGCGCCATGGAGACCGTCCTCACCCCGACCACGGGACGGCCTACAATACCTGTGCTTGACGAGTGGCATCTGGATGCCCCTGTGAGCTCGGTTGAGGATGCGGCAGCGA